TTTTTATATTTTTAGACAGAGAAGAAGGGAGGGAGAAAGTGAGAGAAACATCAATGTGTGGTTGCCTCTTGTGCACGCCCTACTGGGGAGCTGGACGGCAGTCCTGGCATGTGCCCTGACTGGGAATTGAACTGGGGACCTTTTGGTTCACAGGTCAGCGCTAAGTCCACTGAGCTACATCAGTCAGGGCTCCATTTCTTTATTTTCAAAAGAAGTCTAATGTTTATAATATTTTTAACAGTGCTTTTGAGATATAACTCAACTATTATACAATTCGCTCACTTAAAGTATACAGTTCAACAGTTTTTAGTATATTCACAACATCTGCGATATTATTCATACATGTTGCAAACAACGTAGAAATCTCAAAAAACTTACAAAAAATAGGAGGTTCACGAGGCCTACCAAGAACACTGAATTACTAGTTGGTTTTTCATAGTAGGTTCCTCACAGGATTGATATCTAGATTCTATAAATTTCACGTAACATGTTAATTTAATATACATGTTACACATACTTTCAATTCATACATTTACCTACCTTATTTCTATTTCAGCCTTAGCTTTATATTCTCCCACGTTGAAATGTGAAGTGAGGCTAACAGCCAAACAGAAGTGTGCATCACCGAAACCAGTGCACACAAGTGATAAATGCAGATACCCTAAATTCAACTCTTTTTTTAGTTTAAACTAAAAATCAGGTATCCACTGCTGTATGTCTAGCAACTCAGGGCTACTCTCTTCTGACTTAATGTAGCTTTCAGACCACATGGCCTGAGAAACAGCACACTCACAGCCCATCCCTCTGTGAAGCCCAAAAGCAGCGTGCATGTGAACAAGAAAGCCAAAGAGTGCCCACCCTGCCCTGACCCGGGTGGCTTGGCTGGCTGGGCACTGTCCCACACAGCAAAGTCTCGCGGGTTGAGTTCCGGTCAGGGCACATGCCTGGGTTGCGGGTTCAGTCCCCGGTCAGGGTACGTGTGAGAGGCAATCTTCTCTCTCACATCTATGTGTCTCTCTCCATCCCTTCCCTTCTCTCTAAAAAATAAGTAAAACAAAATCTTAAAAACAGACAAACAAAGAGCATCCATATCCCCTTCCCAGTCATGAGGACGCTAACCTTTTCACAAAGCACATAATCTCACTAGGATCTAAGTGCTAAAGTTGCAACCGTGGTTTAAAATAGCTGAGCTGTGCCTCCTGATTTAGCTACACCAACTACGTTGTTACAAGTCCTCACAAAATTTCCATAAAGTGTAAGTCAATGATGAACACCGAGAATAAAAGCAAACATTGGCCCTTTGTTATAAGAGGCCGCAGTGTATTCTTCTCTTGTGTTCATTTGGTTCTTAGAGTATACATTAAATTTTGGGTACAGTTAAATTCTCCTGAACTTCCCAGAACCAGGATAAGAAGACAGCTCTCCAAAGTTCTTCTCTCCAAAGAAGAACTTGTACACAATAGTATCGACAGCATTAAATCTCAATCATCCAAGTATTAGAGTAACGAAAGACCAACTGTCAAAACAGCTGAGTAACACTAATATTGTACAGGACAGGTTTGGGACTCTATGAATTAGCAGCCATGGAATTAGCATTTCCTGGCCGCAGACAAATCAGACCCAAACTGGCAGACTTCACCCTACCAAGTTCTAATTTTTCAAATAAATGAAAATAGCAATAGAAAATGGTTCTTATGTATCTCTACAAAAACTCAAGAACATTCTTCACCCACAGTCTTAAGTTTACAGGACCCAGCTAAACACTGGTCCAACAAAAAAGGTCAGTCCTCTGCCCGTCAACCCAAACCTGCCAGGCCTTTTCCACTTGTGAAAAGAGAAGAATGAGCAATGAATAATAACACAGTTTACATTAAAGCTCTAAGACCAAAACCTTACGGAATCATCACATGTTAAGTGAGAGGTATTTCTCATATCCTAGCAGCATGAACTCAAAACCATATATATTTTTCTCAAAATACTAATATTCTTTAAGATCTCATTTTTCATATGCACTGTACATTTTTACTTGACTAAGTAAAAATTAAAAAACTGTAAGTGAACATATCCAGAAGTGGGGTTGGAAGTGGGTACCTGAGTTCATCTTTTCCTCTGCCTCCAGCCCTGCTCTGACTCAAGGCTGTTAAACACACATTGCAAATGTGTACAAACACGAGGTCTGAATGGAAGGAGCCCAACCACTGCTACTGTAATGAGAACTGTTTGTGGGGCATGGGTGTGACCTGGCAGCCAAGGAGGGTGGACTGGAATGAGCATGTGTGAACAATGCCGACTTCACTATACTAGTCAGTGGGACAGTAGACGCTGTTGAGTGAGCATGTGTACTGCGTGGCTGTCACATTCAAAATGATCAAGTAGAGCAACGAATCTGCACCAAATTTTCCATTAAACTTGAAAATTCCTCCACAGAAACTATTTGGATGACTCAGAAGGCTGCAGCTGTGGGCAACTGGTGATTGGCAGCTTCATGACAACAAGCCTGCTCATGCATCACGTCCTGTGCAGAGAGCATTTTGGAGAAACATCAAATCACCCAAGTGATCAGCCCCACTATAGCCCAGATTTGGTGCCCCGAGACTCTGGCTTTACCCCAAACTAAAATCACTTGTGAAGGGGAAGAGATTTCAGACCATGGATGAGATTCAAGAAAATATGATGGGGCGGCTGATGGCAACTGGGAGAACTGTGTGAGGTCCCAAAGTGCCTACTTGGAAGGCGACTGAGGCATCATTGCCCTACATACATTGTTTCTTATATCTTGTATCTCCATTAATAAATGTCTTTTTCATATTACATGGCTGGATACTTTCTGGAAAGACCTCGTACATCTCATTCAAACTAAAATACCAGGCCAAAGTTCAGAACCCCATGAACCTAAATAGGTACTGTAAGAATCAAAACACTAATAGAGAAACCTTAACTTTTCTTAGGGATGGCTTTTTCTACTGTTGCTTTGCTCCCTGGCTGAAGTGAAACAGCAGACACTTGTCTAGACAGTGTAGTTCAATGGTCTCATCATGACAATAACACATCGGTATGACAAATTAACAAGGTACAAAAACTGTGTCCACTACAATTAAAAATAAAATTTGTAAAAAGGTATAAAACCATCTTCCTCAAACCCCAGACTCCTAGTATTTTTCTTGGATGTGACCACTGTCCAGTTGCACATGAATCCATCCAGCTTTTTAAGCAATGCAGGCATGTTTAAGTATGTATATGTATGGTATGAGTACTGACAGAAATTATGAACAAACAAGTGGAAAACTTTGGAGAAAATATAAATTCCTTACTCAATGGAACAAACATCATGGTTCATCAGTTTTAAGTCACACGAAGAGAAACCCAGGAAGAGAATCTTTGGCCAATCACCCTTTTATTCTGTTAAAAGAAAAAGAACTTGCCCTGCCTTTAGTGTGGCAGCAGCAACTGCGTCTCCTCATTCAGGGTGCGAAAGCAGCGCGAGTCCCCAAGGACTGTTGCTGGCCCGTCCATATCAGCCAGCAGCTTCCGAGCCCAATACCTGTGCAAGCACCTTGTCGGTTCCTGAGAACCTCAGCCCCGACCACGCTGGCAGACCTGGCGATGTACCCCCGCTCTGAATTTAGCTACCTCCTGGCATCATTTAACTCGGAGGGACGCAGACCAAGACACCACCTGAAAGTCCTCCCGCCTTTCCCACCCGGGGATTCGAGCTTCCCGTTCCCACACCGGCCTCCTTCCAGCTCCTAGAGGATCGATCCTTGACCCTGTGCCCCCCTACCGCGCCCACTGTGAGCTGACAGCCTCCACCCTAGAGGCCCAGCCAGCTAGCTGGGATCCTGTCAGTCCGTCCGTCCATCCGTGGTCGTTAGGGAGCCCCACAAGGGTGTCTCCCCTGGGGGCTGCGGTTTCCCACTTGCCCCGCCCAGGCCCGTCCACGCCCGCGCTCCTGCGGGGGCCGGCGGCCCCTTGCGCACCCAGCCGGTGCGAGGGAGTGTCGCTCAGCTCGCAAACCTACTTCCTGCGACGCCGGCTGAGGACGCCGTGGGGAGCGGCGGCGGAGCCCACCCGTTCCCTCGGGCACAGAAGTGACGCAGAGACCCGCCCGCGGCAAAAACAGAGCGGCCGACACCGCGGCCGCCCCAAAACTCCTTGCCGCCACCCCGCGCCCCCGTCACCCCGCTCCCGAGGGCAGCCTTACAGCGGCACTTGCGGGGAACTGAACTTTCCGCGACCGTGGCAGCAGCAACTCGGGGGGCGCGGGGAGACGCTCGCGGCCCTTCGGCTGTGTCAGAACCTGGGTGGTTCTGACACAGCCGTTCTGACTGGGTGTCTCCCGGGAAGCGCCGAAAGCGACCTTTCCCGTGCCCCCGGCCTCCCGGCCAGGACCCCGGCCCCGCCCGGGCAGCAGCGGAGGGGCTGCGACGTGGCGGGAACAGGAGGAAGGAGAGGGAAGGCCCCTGGCGCGGGGGCTGCAGAGAGCCCGCGTGACGCGGACAGTGGGGCCCCTGGGAGCCGGCGGCCTGCGCGGCAGAGATCCCGGCCTGACGCCGCACCCGGCCCGGGGCCCCGGGGTGGGCTGGCGGCGGTCAGGACACCCCACCAGAGTGGGCGGGAGGGGGTGACAGCGGCGCAGAAAGGCGACCTGGACAGGTAGGTAGGTAGGTAGGTAGGCAGGCAGGCAGGGGCAGGGCGGGGCGGGCACCTGAGCCGGGCGGAGCGGGGTTCGTCGAGGAGCCAGCTGCACTCCGGACCCGACAGGGAGGCGCGGTGGGAGGGCAGGGCGGTGCGCACTGTGGCCCCGGCAGGTAAGCCGGGCACGGGACTGGGTCCCGGGCGGGGTCCGCGCCCCTCACTTACGCGGGCCGGGAGGTCGCAGGCACGCACCCCCGACCAGGGCACAAAGGTGGCTGGGAGCGGGGTCAAGGTTCGGGGAGGGGATGGAAGAGCGGCCGGGGCAGGTACTCGGGGGCCAGGGAGGGGCCGGCGCCCGCACTTACCCAGGCGGGCAGGTCGCAGGCGCGCACCCCCAAGCGCACCGCGCGCTCCTCGTCCTCCAGCAGCGCCAGGGCGCGGCACAGGCGGGTGGCTTTGAGGCCGCGGCTCCGCCGGCACCACACCAGCAGCCCGAGCGCCAGCAGCACCCAGCTGAAACTCAGGCCCAGGTAGCCCAGCGCGTACACCGGCAGCAGCAGCGCGAAGCTGCGCGCCAGCTGCGCCAGCAGCCCCGCCACGTCCACGCTCAGCGCCGCGCCGGCCGGCTCGGCCCGCGCAGCGCTGGCCTCAGGTCCTGGGGCCCCGGTGTCGCTCATGCCAGCAGCCCTGCCGCGCAGCGAGCGCGTCCCGCTCGGCCGAGGTACCTCAACCCGCGCTCCAGCGCCCCTCTGAGGGGACTGCGCCGCCGCTAGAGCCCGCCCGCGCTTCCGCCCGCGGGCGGCGTACGACGTCATTGCGCAGGGTGGGCGGGGTGTGTCGCGGACCGGAGTTCTCACCGCGCGGCCGCAGTTCTAAGTGGGCGGGGCTGCCATGAGCGGCAACAAGCTGGTGGGCGTGGTCCTGGTGACATCATCGCGCGGGGGCGGGTACTCAGGCCCAACCCAGTGCTGTCCTGGACTCGGGACTGGTCGCTCCTTGGGGTAGGCCCCGCCTACGCCAAGCCGGGGTGGGCGCGGCGCAGGCTGAGGCGGGAGTGGGCGGGGTCGGTGTGGACCACTTCAAGCTGGGCGGGGTGGGCGGTCCTCGAGCTGCAGGGCGCGGTCCAGGGATCTGGGCACCTACTCCGGCGGGGCGGACCGGGTTGTCCTCCGGGGGTGGATGGGTCAGCCCCTGGGAGTGGGCGGGACCTACGTGTAGCTGTTCAGTGCGCTGGGTTCCCGGGCGGTGGCCCGCGGGGCGTGAGGCCGGGTGGGGCTGTTGGTGTAGCAGCTGCCTGTTAGGTCCTGGCTGCGAAGCGGTGCTGGCGGTTGGGGCGGCTGTGTCGCGTGCCTGTAGCCATCGGGGCAATGGGTGGATCCGACCGGAGGCGCGGCTCCTGTAGGGTTGATGAGGAACGAGAAGTGCGCGCTCCTGAGTATTGCAGACACTTGCCGAGTTTGGAACGTTGCTTTTTGATATCCTTTTAACATGTCCAAATCCAAACCAAACACGCTCATGAGTGGTGATAGTGTAGCGCCAAAAAGCTCTTGCGCCCATGACGCCACAGCGTGAAGATGTGTTTTGTCTTGGGAATCGCAGCTATCTTAGAGATGAAATAAAAACAACTGGATGAGTCCCCTTTACGTGTATGCAAAATGCAGGAATTTCGGCGCAAAGAACGTGTGCAAGGCAACTCAGGGCAGGATGTGCTCCTCTGAAAGGTGTTCACGCCCTCGCCAGTCCTGGCCCACTCGATGCTGGGAGGACTCGCTTAGATCTTGCTTGTGATTTCTGAGAAACACAACAGCCCCGATCACTTTATTTTACGGGAAACTCAATCAGTAATTTCCAGGTAACTTTTTTTTTCAGCATATTCAATGACTTCCAAGGAAATTTTAATTAAATTTATATCGATAGACCTGGTTTTCCCCCCTCCCTTCTTACTCTTCAAATGTTGTTACTGGTAGCCTTGAATTACTACCTTTAGAAAAAACAGGGACTATAGAAGAGAAATATGGCACACTTATGTTTTTTAAATTCTTGCTTGACATGTGTTCTTCCCTGCAATATTGCAGTAGCTGCAGGGACAAAGTCTGGCATCTTCAGGACAATACCCATGTTCTGCACACCACTTGCTGTGTGAGGTGAAGAGGAATGCCAACTAAAGACTAAGCTGCAATCGGCTGTTAGGCTGGGGGAATCAGACTTAACTCACCTGGACGTTGGGGAAACGTTTGTGTGCATTGGTAACTGCGAAACTCTAGTAACACCACTGGTCTTTAAGTTCCTCGAGTGCAAGAATTGTGATATGTTTACCAGCGCATCCTCAGACTGGCACTGTGTCTGGCACAACAGGTGCTAAATGCATACACATACCTCTCTTTCCTCATCTATGAGTCTGTATGCAATTATGTATGCATATGTGTATGTTGCTATGGAGACATAAGTATATATCTCGAAACCCTTGTTCTAGGGTTTAGAACATTCAACTTAGGTGGAGGGCACTAAATGTCAAAAAGAAAGTGGTTTTGTCTTTCTTATTCTTTACCAAATTACATTATGTAAGCTGTAATTACAGGGCTTGGGCAAAAGTGGGTTTACAGTTTTGAGGACGTCAAATAGTTTGTTCTTTTATTAGTAGTAAGTAATTATTATTTTCCACATGAACAACTGTAAACCTCCTTTTGCCCTCCTCCTGCAACAGCTTACTGCTCAAATGCCAGCCTCCACTCATGGCTAAGATATGATCTCACAACAAGTAGCTGCTTGTTAACGCAGGAAGGAGCTTGAGCCTTGCCCTGAGGAGCTATAGAATCACATCCTACAGATAAGGACTGTGTGAACACAAGCCACATAAGAAATCCTGCATGTCTGCGATAAAGTATTTGACCAACAGGCTTAGGGATGTAAAATACATGGAACAGAAGTGTCCATGGTATATACACTAATCAACCTCCCGGCCCCAGCTGCCCTTGTGAACCCACTTCCTTATATTTGATCGCACCAGCAAGGTAGAACACATCTCCCTGCACTAAGTCTAATAACAAGCCCAGCTCAGTTCTTTGGTTCTCATTGCTGTATTATTCCTTATACCTCTCATTCTCCTGTGACCTCTTCATGTTACTTCTTTTCTTCCCTTCTGTGCAGACAATTCTCCAATGAAAGGCTCTGCTTTCTCAGAGGAAAGAAGAGCATCATTGTGTGTGTTCTAGAACAAAACTGAAGTTGCAGCCTCTGCTCTCATTCTTTCTGGCTTCAGAGAAAAGTGCTGCCTTCTGTTTAAGTTCAATCCCTTCCGCTTTGTTTCAGATCCCCTCCAGCCTAAGTCTGGACCTTATCAACGGTCCCAGCCACCTCTTCTGCCCCTCCCTGTCCCAGCTGCATCCCCAATACCTCTACAGAGGATTCAGTGTATAGGTGGGAGCCACTCTGCCTTTCATTCAGATTATTTAATAGTTGTCTGCATATTTCTTTCTCTTAGCAAGTACAAACTGTGTTTTAGCTTTCTATCTCCAGCACTCTATAGTTCATATGACCTCAAATTAACCACTGCCATTCTGTCAACTAAGAAAACAGCTGACCCTGACAGTCATTTGTAGGTACACTGCAGGAATGACCCTTCTCCATCACCTCAGTAAGTCATCTAAATGAAGAATATATTACAAGAGAAAATGTAATTGATTGGCAAAGGAGTTATTTATAAAATAATCATTTTAAGAAGTCTAAGGAGAAAGTGTTTTCAGCTTCCTCTATAGTCATTTATTTGACAAGTATTGGGCGGGGGGGGGTGGATAGTGAGAAAGAGGAAGCATTTGATTATAGTGCAGGCGGGCACCTCTAGATTACTCTGGTGATAAGAGATAGAAGCAGGGAGTGACAATAGATTCCTGTCCTAGATGACTGGCTGTCGTGCAGGATGGATTCGTAGGGGCTGGAATGAAAAAATATAAACAAGACATAATTATCCTCACGGGAGTTAGTGATCACACTTGGGAGGCAAGGGAGAAGGGTCATTCATGCAGTGTGCCTGCCGATGACTGTCAGGATCAGCTGTTTTCTCAGTTGACAGGATGACACTGGTTAAGAGAATGACTTGGCATCAGCTCATCCACCACCCTGTGTGACTTCAGGCAAGCGAATTAACCTTTCTGGTCCTCAGTCTTCTAATCTGAAAAACTAACACGCCTACCTCCCATGGGATGTTGCGAGAATTAAGTACTACCAGGTGGAGTTTTAGTTTGGTGCCTCATTTGGCACAGTCCCTAAATAAGCCATAGCTGTCACTGATAATATCTTCCCTACCTTCCTTTTATGTTCTCCCTAAGTGCTGATGAGTGGAAATGAAAAGGGCAGGAGAGATATGTTCAAAACCAGAGTATAATTAATGTAAAAGGCTTACTGGATCTATTAATTTCTCCAAGACAAGGAGCTGAGTAAATGGCCTTTGTATCTGGAACTCGTAGATGGATCCATTAAACCATAAACTGGTTCATATAGTATGTAACTAAAAAATACGATGTCTGAAACATAAATTTCGTATCTGCAGAAAAACCTTATGAAAAGCACAGACTATGGGTGGCATGCTCATTGATGCATTGTAACATGATTAAAGAGTTTACTCTTTTTTGTGGGTGTGTGAAAACATTAAGTGTAATCTTTTCCAAGTACATTTGCATACTAATGAAATGCAAAACAGCCTTTGGAAACAGCTGAGTGACTTACAAGGCGCCTCACTGGAATGGGACAGGCAAGGCCCCATCCTGCATGAGATAAAATACACCTGAGATGCAGAACATTTTGTCTTCAGAATTCTACTCGTTTCTAGTGTTGAGTAAAAAGTCATCCTTCCGACGACTACTTTTTCAAATGCATTGATTCCTACCATTCTTAGAGGTTGCATTTTATCAAATGACAACATATGGGGAATGATCTGTAAAGTGCAAAGCCTTATCTAGATGACTAGCCCTTTCCAACACCTACGGTCAATCTTCGAGGATGGACACGCTACCTTCCCAGCGAGTCAGGTTCCGGTGCCACCAGGCTAAGTCGAGCCGGTTAAGTGGCAGCTGTGCCTCATTTTCCTCTGTTAGCTCCGCTCTTACCGGCCCCACAGCCAGGAACCCGACAGAGCGGGAGACTCCGGCGTCACCAATTTTCTTCCAGGTCCCCTCCCTTTCCTACCAGGGAGTCCCAGGCCAGCGATCACTCGGCACTCCGCTGCTCTTGCCTGTCGGTTGCTAGGAGTTGGAACCGCGCAGAAGCTGTCAGTGGCCGCCGTAGGCCCCGCCAGCGGTAGCTCGGCTCTCGGATGCTCTTGCCTGCCGGTTGCTAGGAGTCGGGGATACGCAGGCGCTTCGGGGAAGGCCGAGGGGTATGCCGAGCCAGCGGTAGTTCGACTCTCCTCCGCGCTAGCCTGCCAGTTGCTAGGAGTCAGCGACGCCGGCCCCGCGGAGAATTCAACACCGGGGGCCAGTCGTACCCCGGCCGAGCCTGTGGGCGTAGCGCAGCGCGCCTCTTGGGCCTGCGAACGGCGATGGAGCCCGGGAAGGTGAGTGCACACGGGCTGCGGGTCGTCCCGGGTGGGGATTGGTCCAGACCCCCTGTGTCCAGTCACCTGGCGGCCCTGGGCCCGGAATGGACTCTGGTCCAGGACGCGCAGAGGTCAGAGGCCTCCCGTTACCATTGAGCCCCCCGGGACTCAGACAGGCAGGCATCCGTGTGTGGGTCGTCAAAGCCCGTGCACCGTTACCCCTCCTTCTACCCTGCACTTACCGCTTTGACCTGTGGTCTTCTATCCTAAGTGATCGTGTAACCTAAGTTTCCCGTGATTTGCTGGCAGGTTGCGTTTTAAAGCTGAAAATCAAACACTGTACAATGATCTCGTGAGCAGTATTCGCTGCAGACCCAAGCAGTGGGACTGGGCGGGGATGTTATTATTGACATTTGATCCTCGCTTTCAAAAAGAAGCGCGGGTCTACCTTCACTTCGAGGACAGTGTGTGTGTGTGTGTGTGTGTGTCCCACTTTCTACTTTCAACATTCTCTCTTTCTGGAACTCTGGTCCAATCTCTGGTTAGCTGTTGGACTGGAGGCTTATATTTTCCATCTCTCTCTCTCCCTCTCTCTTTTAATGTGTATTTATTCTGGGAGATTTCTCCAGCTTTATCGTTAGCTTCTACTTAAATGTTTTATGTTGCTAATTTTAATATTAAGAATTCTTGTTTTCATATTACTCCTTTTTGTAGCATATGTTTTAATTTGTGCCTATAATATTTTTAAGATCTTTCCAAGGATACAACTTTTATGATGTCTTAAAAATAAGGATTTCTCTTTATTTTCTTGGGTCATTTTCCTTTTTTGTTTATCTTGATTCTTTCTTGTGTTATTTTTCTCAAATGCCTGACTGACCTCTCATGTTTATGAATGAAGCACCCAATTAATCAAAGTAAGTTATCTGAGTGCCAGGTGATGGCACTGACAGGCCTCAGAGTGACGTGGGCGAGGCGAGGGCGGCTGCTCTAAGTTTAGCCTGAGCTCCGGAGCAACATGGACATTTACATTGTGAAGTAGCCAAAGAAACACATCTGTAGTCATTTACGTGTAATTTTAGACTAGTGAGTAATTTTTTAAAATCTATATTTCTATTACCTTTTATTCTGATAGACAGTAATTTGTCATGTAGGAAGGACTAATTGTCATTGGTTAAAATGGCCTAGTGAAAAAACAGCTTTCTAGGGCTTGCAAAATTGGTTATTTTAAACTTGGAAAATGCTAACTTTATACTTTCCTTTCTAGAGAAGAACCAAAGATGATACATGGAAAGCAGACGACCTCAGAAGACACCTTTGGGTAACGTATTTCAAAGATTTGAGCCTGGGTCCGATGGGTTTGGCCTGGCTCTCAACCCTGCACAACTTTGCTTCCATGTGGCTCATTTCAGGGGCGTTTTTGTTGTCATTTTTTTTCTTGCTTTTTAATATTTCAGGGGCGTTTTTGACTCAGAGGTCAAGCCATGTGGTTAGTAGCTCTGGGTCTGTGGCAGGAAAGCGTTTCCTAGCCTAGCCCGCATCTCAGCAGCCCTCCAGTTCCGGTTGTGGTTCAGAGCCCAGGACGTGTGTATACCCGTGTGGTGTGTGTGTGTGGTGTGCGTGTGTCTGTGTGCGTGTGGAGAGGGAGGCTTGCGGGTTGATTGAAACCCCCCTGAGAGTTTTATAAGAAGGCTCCTTGTTCTTAGAGTGGGACCCAAGTGGGATATGTCTTGGGACTGCAACACAGCTTCGGTATCTGTTCTTTTTCTTTCTGATCCATGTAATGTTTCAGATTTAAAACAAATGTGACCGTATGTGTGAGTGTGTCTCGTAAGTGGGCACTGGTCTCTAATCAGACAAATGCTAACTGCGACTCCTGCCTTGGGTGTGGAGACGCCCACCCTTTCTGTTTGGCGGGGAGTGGTTTTTAAGGGTTTTTACTGAGCATTCAGAAGCCCTCCCTTTCTGCTGTTCTAGGCTGCACAGTCAGGGACTCCCAGGGAGGATAAGAAGCACAAGGAGAAGAAGTCACATAAGGACTTGGACGCGGATGTCCCGGGGTTCAAGGAGCAGAAGCCCAGGGATCCAGACCGGGAGACAAAGCGCCAAGACAGGGTGGCAGACAGAGATGGCCACAGCTCCAGAGAGCATCCCCACGGGCACAGAGACAGGGAGAAGCCACGGGAGAGGAGAAGGGATGCCCAGGACTGGGACAGAGAGAGGCTGAGGGACAAGGCCCTAGAGCAGGAAGTGGAGAAGCACCAGAGCCGAGGCAAAGACCGGGAGAGGGAGAGGGACCGGCAGCGTGAGCACGACGACGGAGAGATCCGTGCGCGGTGGGAGGAGCCCAGGCTGGCCACCAAGCACCACAACCTGCTGGGCCTGGACGCAGGCAGGCTGCCCCCCGACCTACACAAGCACCGGGTGCGGTCAGGTGCGTGTCCGGGGCTGTGTGCTTCCCATCCCACGGCCTGTCATGTGGGGCACGCCCCCTGAAGCACTTAGTCCCCACGCCGTCCTCCCCCTTGGTTTTCAGGTGGCTCACATTTGCGGTGAGTTGTGTGCTGGCAGAACGGTGCGTTTTGCACAGTGGTTTCCTTCTCCATATTTAAAACTCATCTCAGTGAGTGATAAGAGTAAGTTTTCTCACCATTTGCTGGAGTTTTACTATTGAAACATATTTCAGATTAATTATCCCAATAAATCTCAATCCACATTATAGATAAACAAAAATTATGCTCTTTGATAAAAGAATTCCCGGGAGTATGTGTTTTATTTTAGGCAATATTTAACCATTTATCTGGATTCCTAGGAACTCTAAGGTGAAGGTGCCCCCCTCCTCCCCGACGGCAGTGTCTTTACTGCTTTCACTATACGAACAGTGCACGCTTCTTGGGAAAATGCAACTGGCCAACATGAACATAAAAGGAAGACATAGAAGGATGTGCAGTTGCTCTTAGAACCATCTGGAAGGCTGAGGGCCTGGCTGTGGACGTGGGCTGTCCCCTGTGCCGAGGGCCGGGCACCTGCCTGTGCACCCACCCATCAGGGTTGAGGCTCCAGGAGCATCTGGTGTGTCTCTGCTGGGTGTGGTGCAGTTAGGGGCAGGCGCGTGGGTCTGCCAGGTGATAGCATCTAGTCTCATGGTTTAAATACCATTGTGTGCTCCTGACTTCCCAGTTCCGGTCTCCAGCTGAGCCTCATCCTGAATGGCGGGATGTATCCTGTGTATCCTGTACCTGATGTCTGATATACATGGCAAGCACCAAGTGCCCTGAACTGAACTTCTGACAGCCCCACAACCCTGCTCCCCGCAGCGTGGCCCACAAGCACCTGTACCCTTCAGCCCAGAGCACATGGGACTCATCCCAACCCCAGTCTTTCTCCTGCTGTCTGTGGGAACCTGGCCATCTCACTCTCCTCTCCAGCTCCCGCACAGGGTGCCTCTGGGTAGCCCCCACCCCTTGTTTTGATCTCTTGGACCTCAGGGTCCTAGGCAAATGGTCAGTGCTCAGCAAATGCTGTTTGAAGGAATGACCTTTGTTTCGATGGTCTCTGGGTGTTTAACGTAGTCCTCATCTTGTAAAATGTCAGTTCTCTTCATTTTAAGACTAAGTACTTTGGCCCGTGCGGATTCAAATGTGAATTTCTGGTCTTTGTTCTTGGATGGGGCTGTGTGTGTCCCAGTGATTGTGTGGGGCTCTGCTGGTCCCTGTGGCCTCTTGCCCTGGTGGCCAGTGGGGGTGAGTGGCTGCGATGGCTGCTGGTGGCGTCCTCGTCACGGGGCCTCCTGCCACCACAGCGCCTTCTAGCAGTAGGGTCCCCTCCTCACCCCAAGGTGGCATCGACTCCCTTGCAACTGAGCACTTGGCAGAGACGTCTGCCTGACGGGCCCGTGTTTCTGGACCGGCTGTGCTGCCACAAGCACCTGTTGGGGGCATGGGGACCCCGAGGTGTGTGCGCTTCGCTAGTGCCTCCAAGTGTCCAGCAGTTAGTTTTACTTTTTCCCAGTCGCCTGGGTAGCAGTTGCCACTGTCATCTCCTTTATCCCACTTTTAGTTTAGATCCTCCTTTTTCCACTCCCGAGGCTACAGAGCGTGTTGTAATTGAAGAACACGTTTTCCTGTGTTAATACATGAATTTGGAATGTAGCGTGTGCCGTAAATACTGTGGCAAGGTGTTAGGAGACTGTTTCAATGTCTGAAGTTTGGGAATGTGAAAAGTGTGTTTTCTTTTTGTAGTAAGTAAAGTAAGGGCTGAAGAGAAGGAGAGGAGAGAGGAGGACTCGGAAAGAGACGAAGAGAGAGAAAGAAGATACCGGGAAAGGAAGGTGGGTGAACCGGGCCCAGACGCCGTGTTGGCGTGGGAGGCACTGTGCAGGTTTTGCAGCAGAGACTCCGGGCCTGCGAAGACACCGCGGTGAACCCTGCATTCGTTTCCTGGGGGTCAGAGTAAATGTAGCCGTCGCCCCTTCGCCTCACTCGAAGGCTGTAGTTATTTATGTCCTCATCCTCAGGGCGCCATCCAGTGTCTCAGCAGCCATATCCCGGGCAGCAGCGTGACTCGGGAGGATGGCGTGACTTGGGCGTGGTGTCTGCAGGTCTGGGGCAGGCATCCCCTCCTGTCCTCGGGTGTCTGACACACATGGCAGTGCTGTCCCCGCCCGTGTGCGTCTGCGCCCTTTCTGGTGCAATCTTTCATTTAAGGGCACTTTAGAGATGAACTCTGCTCATCATCGTGTCACTACTTTTTAAAAAGATTTTCTTTATTTTTAGAAAGAGGGGAGGGCAGGGAGAAAGAGAGGGGGAGAAACATCAATAGGAGACAGAAACATCGATCAGTTGCCTCTTGTACATGCCCTGACGGGGAATCAAACCAGTGACCTTGCGTTTTGTGAGACTATGACCTGACCAGCCCACTGAGTCACACTGGTCAGGGTATCTCTGTGTGTTTTGAATTTTACTTGTGGAATCTCTGCATTTCAGGCTTAAAATTATGAAGTGTTTGAGGTATAGAGCCCCTTCACACCAATATGCAGTCACCTATGTTTTGTTCTGGGCCCTTACCATTTTTTGTATGACTTAATTTTTAATGCCCGTTGAATTTATTCTGCCGGCAGGCAAGCAGTAGACTGAACTGAGGAGTTTGGTCAGGGGCTTGTCAGCGTGTTTTCTCGGGAAGAGTCTCCCGCAGAGATGAGCAAGGTGGGGGTGTGGGGACGTCGGGGTCCATGGGAAGAGAGAAGTACGGGGGGTGGAGATGGTGGGGGTGGGCTGGGCGGTCAGAACCCTTGCCTGGGGGACAAGTGAGCACTGCCCGGCGTGCATGGAGGGTCGGTTTGGGGTTCTGTGGGGAAGTGTTGGTGATGCTCCCCGAGCCGGGAGTTTGAGCCCAAACACCACACAGGGCAACCTGACCTGCAGCCCAGCAGCCTCCACCCCCAGATAGTGGTCACGTCCTCACCGAGCATCCACGGTGGTCTGGGGTGCAGGGGTATCTGAACCAGGGTGTTTGGCCTTAAGAGTGTCCTTGTTGGGGGGGGGGGCACAAGCATGTGAACTGCCATGGAAACAGCCCAAGGGGCACCTGTGGAGAGCGCAACGGGAGGGCCTGAGTGTAGGTGCAGCCCAGGATGCCTAGGGGTTGGGGGGAGGGTAACCAGACCTACAAGAACAGGTTGCGAGGGAGGCCGGGCTGTGCAGGGCGAGGGCGGCGGGCTGCAGGGTCGTGCTGTCCTATGGTGGTGTGGCTGGCGGAGCAGCAGACTTTTCTTCCGGAGTGCACGTGTGGAAGGTCCCTACAGTGGGAGAGTGGGGGGCGGGGGCAGCGCTGGCCAGCCGGCCCTGCCTTTGTTGTAATGTGCACGGCAGTGGGCGTGCACGTCCTACACACTCGTGTGCTCCCTGCCGTGCCCCTTCACAGTTGCAGTATGGAGACAGCAAGGACAACCCCCTCAAGTACTGGCTTTACAAAGAGGAGGAGGGAAGAGGACACAGGAGGCACAGAGAGCCTGACCGAGGACGGAGGCATCACGAAAAAAGCAGCACCAGGGAGAAAAGGGAGAGGCACTCGAAAGAAAAAAGCAGCTCGCTCTCCAAAAGGGAAGAGGACACAGGGCACAAAGAGAAACGCCGCGAGGAAGGCCTTCACTTCAGCGATGAGAGGCACCATGGTCGTGTGGACAGAAGAGAGAGGTCGTCGAAAGAAGAGCGCAGGAAAAGGGAGCCCAAGGTGCGTGGTGTCTGGTGCTCCTAACCCCCAGGCCGCCCTAGAGCGGGAGGTGCGTCTGAGCACAGCTGCGGGGCCGAGCCTGGTGGGAAGGGAGGTTGGGGGTGCTGAGAGTCCCATGTGCCCTTGTAAGACGTGGTCACACCCGTGTTGTATGGTCAGGAGAGATTCCTGACCTCAGACGTGTGGAGCACACATTCTAACATATATCCAGAAATCTATCATACAAGTTTGAAATGTAACATTGAAGAGGAAGCTGGTATTTTTTAAAGTGGAAATTAAGTGAGTAATGTAGAAAATGTTTCAGCCGGAGTTGGTAGTCTAAGTTCACCAGCAGAACAGCACAGAACACACGCAGAAATATCGGTCACAGAGGGTCCAGTCTTCCTCCCGGGTGTTAGAGTGATTCCTGGGACTGCTTCCAGCCTCCCTGCGTTCCCTTCAGTGTGTTTCGTTTCCTGTCCGTGCTCTGGCCGTGTGGCTTGTCCAGACTCCAGGGCGGGTGCAATTCCATGCTCCCTCCACGAGGACACAGAGCATGCCCCGGGTCAGGGCAGGGGCCTGGGGTGCCCTGCTTGTCCACCGACCTTCCTCTGCAAATATGGGCACGCGTTCATCTGGGACAGTCTTCTGACAGCTCACAGACCCTCTTTTTCAGACCCTGTCCATAGTTGCGAGTGGCCAGTGTTGCAGATGCTGAAGTCACAGTTGGGAACAAAACAGGTTTTAGTTTCCACGGTGCTTCTATTTTTTTGGAAAGGTCACATGTTAGAGAGACGAACCAATGAGTAGGTAACATCACATCAGGAGTGGTTAGTGAGCATTATATAATGAACGCTTTTCTTGGTGTTGACTTCCAGGTACTGAAATATACTCTGCAGCTTAGTTAGTGAGCTAGCCTGGTGGTTGACAGAATTGTCCCCGAGGTGACTGTGATGTGCGGGGTGCCTCCTACCGGGACTGCAGGTGTGGAACAGAGCTGGGCCCGGCCACAGCCCGGGGCTGCCTCTCACTCCCTGTAGGACTTGGACTGTGTGTCCCCGTCTGCCTCTGCCGGTCCCCAGTTAGAGGGTGAGGGTGTCAGTCAGCAGAGTCTCTGATGGCAGTGACCCAAAGAGACGGCCTCAGCAGAAGCATGGGTGACCTCCTGCCTCTGCTGAATGTGGGGTCCTGCTCCCCTCTGCTCCAGGGATGCCTCCGGTGCATGGGCTGCACAGCCGGGGGTCATCGTTTCTCCTGCCAGCGCCGCTGAGTCCATTCTTGGTCCACTCCCATCACTTTTATAGGCCGAGGCCACACTTCCTCCCATTACATATACTTTCAGAGAAGATTTCCACACGGGAAAAGTAAAGTTACCCGTGACCCCAACTGCAAGACGACCCCTGGGAGGCGTGTGAGCTCGGCCTGCAGCCCCTCCAGTCCGCTGGCAGCCTCTCCGGAGTGCGGCCCCGCAGCCAGGCCGTCGTTTCCTGTGGACTCTGGGAACCGCTCTCTGTTGCAGGGGCATTTCACAGCGGGCTGCTGTTCTGCTGTGTGGTCCTGACCTCAGTAACTTCCTACGTAACCAGATGTCGAACATGCAGTCACCGATTTCGGGGGGCGTTATAAATTATTCTCTGATGAACACAGCAAAAATCTTAACATGTGTCTTTGGTCGTTTTCTAGAAATAACTTCCTAGAAGTAAACTGACAGGTCGGAGAAAGTCTCTGGAGACTTCCAGCTCACGCCAGGGCTTTGGGCACATGGTGTGCTCGGCTCTCAGACCGCAGTTCCGTCCCCGCTCGCTCTTCACCGTTCCTGGTGAATCCCAGGCCTGCACCCTTCCTGCGCCCCGAGGTGGCGGCGCCCCTGCCCCCCAACCCCCCCTCTGTCCACAGCCGGCCTCACACCCGCCATTCCCTGCTGCACTTCCTGCCAGCATCTCCTCAACCCACCTATACACGTCCATTGACACATTCTGGTGCTTTTGATTTAAAACAATTCATCCATGTAAGAGAAGGTGAACTTTTTTCCTGCAGGTGTGTAGATCTGTGAGATAGCTGCGTTCCAAACGGTTGAACGTTTAACTTTAAGCGTGTGAGGAGCTGCACCTACTGACCCGAAAGGCATGTGGGACTGACAAGCAGCAGTTTACTCACTGAGCGCCGACATGATCACCTTTTAGAGCTTAAACCTTTCTCTGTGCATCCCCCTTCCATAGTCACCTAACTTACTAAAAATACTGATAACAACAGTCGTGAGACGCCTGTGGCAGAGTTCCTTGTTAAATTTTGAGCCTGTGCTTATTTTACAGCTTATTAATTACTGTTTGTTTATTATGATTTACTAATTAGAAGTGATGGGATTTCTTCTCTTACAGAATGGTGAACACAGGAACCGAGGTGGAAGTTCAAAGAGAGACGGGACTGGCGGCCAGTAAGGAATACGCGTTCTTTGGTTGATTATTACAGAATCCTTTAAGCCGATTTTTCATCGGGCCCAATCATAGCCAGTAAATTGCAGTGAGTAGTAACTGTGCTTCCCCAACGCTCCGCACAGCCCTGCGGACCGAATCTCGAGTGCTCCAGAGGGGCTTGGGGCTTGTTACAGAGTGTTGCTCCGTTTTATACTTGCTCAAACAAAATTAGAAAACCAGAACTCACTTTGGGGGAACGCTCGTTTGGCAGGTGGCCCCTCCGTGAGGCAGACCAGCCCTGGAGTGTAGAGCATGTGCAAGGGGCTGTGGGTCCTCGTGTGTGTGGTAAACGCATGCTTGCCCGCAGGCCCCCAGCCCCAGGCCAGCTGGAGCAAGGAGGCGCCGCGGGAGTTGGAGTGAGGGTGTTGGCACCGGCTTCAGGGAGGGCCTGTCCGCCTTTCTCTGGGAAGTTGGGGGGCCCTTCAGGGCCTGCTCCTCACTGAAAAATACCTCCTCTGTGTGGGTTTTGTGGAGGTCATGGAGTGGAGTTTGTGTATAAACCATCTTGTGTATAAGCTCTAGATTTTAATTTGTTTTTTATGGCAGCCATATTTGGTCATTCTTTTTCACAGATCAGGAGACCTTGGGCTAAATGCCTTGTCCGAATTCTTACAACTTAGAACAAAGCTGGCACCTAACCCCAGTGGGTGAGGGCAGGCCCCCGGCCTTTGCGCACTGCCACCGTGACGGAGCGAGTGGGGAGCCGTGCTCGGCTCCGTGTCCTAGACCCCAAGCTGCCCTGGACGGCTGTGCGCAAGCTTCCAGCAGTGGAGGGTCAGCTTGAAATTTCGAGAGCCTTAACTATGGGTCCCAACCAACCCGGAGCATATTAAAAGCATAGAGCATTCTACGATAAATCTTTCTTTTGGAAATGCAAATATTATACTAAACATAACATAACACCTGGGATTGATAATAAAGGTAAAGGAGTTTCCTGCCTTTTACAAGGACGCAGACTCGCACACACGTCTGTGCGAACATGGAGCCTTCTCCCCACTGGAGGCGCTCTGTGCCCTGCGTCACCATGAGACAGCAGAGCGCAAGGAAGGCCCGTGCGCTCCCAGTCCGCCGAGAGCACGCCGTGGGGATCCGCCACTCACAGCAGCTCTTAATCTTGCCGAATATGATGAGTCTGCGCTGACATGTGAAGTGTTTTTTAAGGCTTTATTTAATGTTAATTTTGGTTTTGACCGTATCTTCTTCCCAGGCACGCGGAGATCGAAGTGAGGAACAGTGGGAGAGAGGACACAAGAAGGAAGGTAAGACCTTCGCGTCGCTTTCCCTGGGCAGTGAGCCTGGCCAGGCCCAACGTTTGCCGGGGGGCAGGCCTCGTTTGCAGGCAGCTGGGCCAGGGGCAGGGGCTCCCGGAGGCACAGAGGAGATGCTGCAGGCTCAGAGAGACTGAGAGTGGGAAGGCGCACGAGAAGCCATTGTCCCAGGGCTCCAGCGGCTGGGCCTGTGGGACGTTGCAAGCGTTCACTCACAGGAGGGGGTGGCCATTATAAATGAACGCGCCCCTGACAAAAGAGCCCCAAAGCGCAAGAGGCAGGACTGACGGCATGACCGGAGGAGCAGGGGACGCAGTGCACGTCCAGGCTTCAGCGCCCTCTGCCCCTTGCAGGCTGCGCGGCTGCGTTTCGCTGTGACACGGGCAGCTCAGGTGAACGGGGCCATTCTGGGAGGGATGAATCGCTGAGGCGGCCTCAGGCAGAAGTGGGAGGTCCTGAGCAGACCTCCCTTTCAGGGAGAAATCGCACCAGGGTTGACAGTCTTCCCGGAGAGAAGCCCAGGCCAGGCGGCCTCACAGCAGGGGCCACCTGACGTGTTACTCGCTCTGAGCCACGAGGCCGAGAAGTGATCTCGTGTGACAGGTGGTGTCAGGACAGAGGTGTGTCAGTTCTCAGCACCAGGGGTGTGTCTGAGCACAGTGAGGAATGGGGGACCGCGCCGTCCCCAGGCCTCGTGTCTGCAGCAGCCCCCGGGTGTCACCGGAGCGGGCTTTGCCGTGGCTGCCCAGAACTGCGCAGTGGCATGGGGGTCTCGTCACCGAACCCTGTTCTGTTGTTTGTGTGTCGTGAGTGCTGTGGCGGATTTCAGCCTCTGTTATATTGGAAGTAGTTTTCTCCTTGATAGTTCTCTGAATCCCGTGACACTGTAACACATGTGCCATCTTTTTACGTGTCTCTTTATTTCGCACGTGTACACACACAGTTTCACATAATTTAGTCTATACGGCGTGTGTGGTTTTGGTGCATGCACGTTTTATGTGATCGCTTTGGGGGTGGTAGGGCTGCTCGCTGTCCAGCTGTAGCCACACCGAAGGGGGGATTGGCTGCGCCCCCGGTTCTTCCTGTGCAACCTTCTCCTCACACACTGGTGTGTATTGGGGGTCGGGGACACCTCTCTCTGTTTCACCCCTGCAGCCGTGCCGCAGATGGTCCCCTCGGTCACGTGGGAACCCCCATTTCTAAGGATGCAGACACCTCCTCACACTTTCTGTGGGTGGAGTTGCCGAAGTGGGGTCATGGGGTGAAAAGACATGGTTTTGGTGTTTTCCTCAGACCTCCCGATTTCTTGTAAGCCCTGGATTAGCATTATTCCTGGGGTGTGAGCCACATTTGAAACATGAAGTTTTTCTGGCAGTCACGTTAAAAACTAAAAAGGAAACAAAAATAATTTAAATGGCACGTTAGACTATCCATTTCAACAGTATCATCCTTTCAACATACACTCACTGGAAGACATTACCAGTGAGACACTTTTTACATAAACTTTTTTAACCGGAGCAAAATAAAGTGACCAGGAGAGGCGTGGGGCCACTGGACTCCGTGCTTGGCCCACGGTTAGGCGGCAGGTTCCATGGCAACGGCACGGAGCCCTGTCGGGGCAGTTCTCCGCGTGGGCGAGCTTGAGGTGTGCCAGCAGGGCTCTGACGGTGGAGAGCGCCTCATCTCCCTCGTGGTGACACACTGAGCTGTCCCCAGTCTTACACAATGACATCGCAGAGCGTGTCTTTCTTGTACCAGTGGCTGCAGCAGGGGACCATCATCTCCCTATTTCTGAGTAGAGAGGCTGAGGCAGCCCATTGGTACAGCTCAGACCCAGGACTCGTGCCCCTGCCTGCCCAGGGCAGCCCCTCAGGGAGGAAGGCAGCGTGTGGTGGGCTGTGAGTACCCTACAGACCCCCCCCAGCTGCTGGCCTGGCCAATGCAGCAGCAGTGAGGGCCCCTCCACGTGGATGCTGGCTGTGAGGCCGGGCAGTGAAGGCACCATGGGGCGGGTCCGTCCTGTGCAGGATCATGCCCCACGCGTGTTTGCTCACTGCCATCACAGCCTGTCAGTGTCAGACTGAGGAGGGATTGGCTGTAACGTGCCGTCTGTGCTCACACTGGGCTGAGCGTCTTTTGCGGTATCACTGGTGGCCTCAGGTTCCGGGCTGGAGGGGACACCAGCTCCCAGAGCCTGGGACCTTCCTCTGCGTGGACAGGGCGGGGTGGGGGCACCTTGCCTTGTTTTGCAGGCTCAGGTTGAATGAGTAGCCAGGTTATTTTTGCATTTAAATTCAAAAGTTTGGGGACAGTGGAAGAAACTTAACACAGATGTTAGACAAGACAGGACTTGGGCCACTGTTGGGAAGACAGTTCCAGGTCCCAGACCATCTGGGGAACGTGGGCGACTTTAGGGATTGAGGCCGTGGTGTGGCCGTTCTTTTCCGAACCGAGGGGGAAGCACAAGGCGCCTGCTCGCAGCCACCCCAGCGGCTGGTCGGGTCGTGTTGCAACCCAGCTGGTCCTCACTGTGTGAGAAGTGAGGTGTCTCCTATCTCCTAGGGCAGAGAGCCCAGCAGGCTGTGTGTTTGCCAAGGGGACAAGCCGGTGGACACGGAGTGGTCACTGGGGCCACAGCGAGCTCACAGTCGGCTCAATGGGCCATGCTGGGACCCTGAACAGCAGTGGCTCTGGTAGCTCCCAGCAGTTGGCAGGTGTCCAATGTGTTTCTGCAGCAAATGCAGTGAGTGTCCTTGCCATGGCGCGGCCTTGTGCGAGGACCTTCCCATGGGGCAGTTTTCCCAAGAAAGGATTCGCTGGCCCGGAATAACTCTCCCCAACCCCCAGGCTATGAGAGAACCCTCGCAACCCCTTGCTCATTCTTGACACCCAGACCAGTGGCCTTAGGCCAACCTGCGCAGCTCCCCAAGCCTCCAGAGCACCTCCCACTGCAGGACTTGGGGGATCCCTGGTGCGTCCCCAGATTGCAGGCGGTGGCGGGGAGTGGAGGCCGCCTGGCGTGCCCTGATGGGACTGGAACACGTGTGTGCGTGTGTCTGCCCTGGCAGTGCAGACACGGGGTGCTCGCGGCGGTGGGGGGGGGGGCTGGTCACCAACGAGGGAGCAGCAGTGGCAGAGTGTGGAACTTACTCGTGAAACGGTTTTTCTCTGCAGCCATCCGAGTTAGAGAAGTTGCGGAGAAAGGGTATGTTTATCAAACTGTTTCCTCTTTTCGGTCATGCTTACAAGTTAGCAAATACTTAAAGAATTTGAAGGCAGATTGTTAGTTTTGTAAATACTTACAAATTTAAGTTAGTAACTTATTATGAATCTTAGAAAACCTATATTTTCTCAGTGTATTTGCAAGATTCAAGTGTGTGATTGGTCTTTTTTGTTCTGTGTTTGATTTTCACCTCTAGGAAATTGAAAAGGAAGACATCGACTTAGAACATGTTGGAGCTGGTGGCTCTGTGGCCAGTTTTGAAGATGATTTTGAAGTACGTATAAACACTAAAATTTTTCTTGGCTTAAAATAATTTGTTCTTAAACTCAGCTTAAGTAAAGTAATGAATAGCTTTTCTCTCTCTTTTTATTACTCTTAAGATCCCATGTCCCTTTGGTCTCGGTCTGTTGCCTGTAAAGGTGTGCTGCACACCCACCAGTGCTTACCTGTGGGGTGTCGTGAGCGATACCGTGATCAGGCCTGTCGTTAGGTGCACTGCAGTCAAGCACGTATATACATGCACACATGTGCATGTGCGCACACATGCGTGTGTGGAACATGAGCACACACTTGGCACAAGGAAGGGTTCCGGGGGCGCTCCGTGTGCGCAGCTCCTGTGGTGCGGTCGTTTGCAGAGGACCAGACGCTGCACTTCCCACAGACCGGGACGCAGCAGCGCCGTGGTCAGCGGCCATCCTCTGGGCCATGATGGGGGCTGTCTGGCTATTTCGTCTTATCCTTACATTTAAACATTTCTAAGAGTGGTTTGTCCAGGTGATACCGGTTAACGACATCACGTAAACTTCGGGGAGACAAAGTTGTACTTTGGCATCTGTGTGTCTGTCTCACACTCGCCCGGTCCCCACGCACTTGGCCCCTGTGCCCCGTGGGCCCGCGGCCGGAGGACACCATTGTGCTGTCCAGTCTGGGAGTGTGTTTCTGTGTGCGTCGAGTCATTTGTCCCTTTCTCATTTTGTAGTCCCCATGGGAGTGACAGCATGTGGTTTGTGTCCTTTTTGTCAGACTCGCCTCACTTCGCACAACCCTGTCCAGCTCCGTCCATGTTGTCGCGAGTGGTGACATTTCACCATTTGTGGGCTGAGCAGCATCTGTGGTGTGTTTGCTCTGCACCTTCTCTACCTGGTCCCCCCGTGGATGGGGGCTCCCGTGTTGTGCTGTTGCCCATGACGCCGCAGTGAACACAGGGCGCCGGCATGTTCATGCAGGTGCGCTTCCACTTTTTGGATGAATAACCAGAAGTGGGGTTGCTGGGTCATAGAGTGACTCTATTCTCAATTTTTTGAGGAACCTCCACACTGGTTCTGCAGTGGCTGTCCTGGTTCACACTCCCAGTCACGGTGCACAGGGTTCCCTTCTCCTCATCCTCACCAGCGCCTGTCATCTGTTGTCTTTTTGACGATGGCCACCCTGACTGGTGTGAGGCAGTGTCTCTGTGGTCTCAATTTGTAGTTCTCTGATGACCAGTGACATTGAGCGTCCTTTCCAATGACTGTTGAACTCATCTGTGTGTCTCCGTTGGGAAAATGTCTGATCAGGTCCTCTGCCCATATTTTAAGCAGATGGTTTTGTTGTCACGAATTACATGAGTTCTGTATGTGTAGAGATGTGAGCCCCTTGTTGGAAGCAACGTTTGTAAATGTCATTGGTGCATCTCTGTTGGAAAATGCGGTGTCTTCCGGAGGGACCGCTCCCTTCCTCAGTGGAAGCGTCTGACTTTGTCCTTCATTACCATTTCTGTCTCGAATCTGTGTGATCTGATAGCAGTACAGCTGCACCTGCTTCTCTCTGGGCACCGCTTGCTCGGAGTGTCCTCCTCCAGCCCTTCTTCTGGGGCCGTGTCTGTCTTTGGGGCTCAGATGGGTCTCTCAAAGCCAGCGTGTAGCTGGTCCTGTGCCCCAGTCCGTGAGCTCAGCCGTGTATGTTTAGGGGACCGCTGGCACATGGGACATGGGACGTGCCGTGGCCGTTCTCTCCTGCTGTTGGGTTGCTCTGTGTCTCGTTGCTTCTTTTCTCTCTTGTTTCTGTTGCTGTTTCAGGCTGGTGGTTTCCTATGAAGTTTTTCTTCATTTCCTCTTTTTTAATGTTCGGATCCCAGCTCTGGGTGTTTGTTTGGTGGCTGCCGTGAGGTTGGTATGAAATGTCTGAGATAAAGTAGTCCCTGTCTTCTGAGAGCACACTACTTCTCTTGCACAAGCTCAGTCCTGTTCTTCCCCCTTTTATGTTTTATGGTGTGTTCGTTGTCAAACTGTAGGGGCTAAAGTTACCTGTAATGCTTTTCTTCTTTAGCCTGTATGTGTAATTGATTAGTGCCCTGCTCTGAAACAGGGTTGCAGTTGCTTGCTTTGTCAACTTGTCATTCATGCTTAGAGCTCCGTGTCCCCTTGTCTCTGTCCCAGGCGGAAGAGCCCCTTGAGCATTTCCTGGGATGCCGGTTGTTGGCCCCACCCCCTCCCCCTCGTGAGTCTGGGAGGGCCGTGTTTCTCCATCACGAAAGGATTCATTGCTTCTGGCTGCTGGCTTCTCTCAGCATTTCGAGTCTGTCATTCCACAGTCTTCCCACCTGTAGCATTTCCACTGAGAAATGAAGTGACAGCTGATGGAGCTCCTTGTGGGCTGCTTTTTCCCTGGCTGCCTTGAGAATTCTGTAATTAACTTTCGACAGTTTTAATACAAAGTGTTTGGGAGAAGGTCTTCGCCTTGAGATGGTTAGGTGCTCTGTTAGCTCTTTGTACTCAAATGTCCACTTGCTTCGCTGGGTTTTGGGAGTCTCTCTGCTTGCTCCCTGCCCCCTTGCTCCTGGGACTCAAACCGCCCTTTCTGAGGGGTCAGACAGCTCTGGTTGGCTCTTACTTTTCTTCTCGGCTCTCTGTGTTCCAGGTTCCTCTTTTCCTCGCAGTCTGCTCTTCGTCTCTGCATTCTTTATCTCGTGGACAGAGTTCTTCAGCCCCAGGATTCACTTGCTTCTTTGTGATAGTTTTCATCTCTTTGGCTGGCCAGGCTCTCTTTTTGTGCATCTCTGCCATCCCCAAGCTCCCGGCGCTTGCTTTCTGAGTTCTCTTGCCCCTTGTCGAGCCCCTTCCCGACGGCCCTCCTGGACTCCACCATTTAAATCACAGCCTTCCGTGGCTGTCAGTCATTCTGTCTGTGTTGCCTGCTGCCTTGGCTGTGGCCCTGCACTACATCCGAGCTCCGTAGCCAATGGTGCTTAGAGGACTTTCTCTTGTTTTCCACTAGATGGTGCCGTAACACACGTTGTGGTTTTCTCTCACCTGTGCACGGGCACCTCCCTGTGTGTGTCGAGGGGGGCAGTCACTGTAGTCATGAAAATTAACACCGGGTGACTAGGGTGGTGGGTGTCCTTGCCGTGTCCAGGTTGTCTCGGTCGAGGGGCACTGCCGCCGTGGTGGGGGGACATGGTGGGTGGGGGTTTGCGAACCCCTGTACTCTGCCCCTGTTCCTTACAGCTGTTGGCACCCTGCACCATAGCCAAGGCCTCCGGTGAGGCTCTACTGTGGTGGGTTTGGGGGGGTTGAGGGGGAGCTGCACGATTGGGTGGCGACCCCGATTCTGCCCCTCTCACCCTCTGCTGGCCATGGTGTGGAGGGCCCACCCCAACCCTCCACCGCTGTTGCAGAAACCGGGGCCACAACAGCCAACAAACTGTGCTTTAGGACACTGCCCCATCCTTCCCCATCCCGCCTGCCCTGTGCATTCTGGGCACCTACCTGAAGGCGAGGGGGCGTGGCTCTCTGAGGGGCGTTCGCGAGGGGAGCAGGGACCTTGGCCGGATTGCAGATGTCTAGCTTATAATTTAAGGAGAGACAGGGGTCTTCTTACTCCACCACAATGCTGATGAAAACAGTCTATTTTCTCTAAAGTCACTTCTTTAAAAAAATATGTTTATTTATTTTTAGATGGGGGGAGGGGGGAAAGAGAGAAACATCAGTGTGTGGTTGCCTCTCATGTGCCCCTTACTGGGGACCCTGCCCACAACCCAGACATGTGCCCTGACTGGGAATCAAACCTGCAACCCTTTGGTTCACAGTCCGGCACTAAATCCACTGAGCCACACCAGCCAGGGCAAAAGTCAGTTCATCTCAGAGTCCCCAGAAACCTTGTCACTGTCTGTAGGACTACGAAGATGACTTTGAGGTTTGTGATGGAGACGATGATGATGACGATGACAGGACCAATGAGCCAGAATCAAGAGAGAAGGCGGAAGAACTTCCTCCAGCCAGACGGAAAGAGATACAGGACGTCCAGGACGCCATCGACGCAGAGAACGAGAGGGTCGGCGAGCTGGCTTCGAAGCTGAAGCCCCGCAGGACGGAGCCTGAGAAGGACCCGGAGACGGGTGCGTGGACACTGGGGCCCCGCTGCCTGGAGACCACTCGCTGGCACGGGAGGGTCACCTTTCTGTGCGGGGGCTGTGGCCAAGGGTGGCTGTGAGCGAGGGCCACTGCAGGTGCGTCTTTCCTGTGCGGTCAGCCTGCCCATCGGCAGCATGGCCCTTGTTTTTTGTTGTTGTTGTTTGATTTTTAAATTTATTACTTTTAAAGGGAGAGAGAAAAGCACCAATTTGTCGTTCTACTCACCCACGCATTCCTCGGTTGGCGCTCGCCTGTGCCCTGACCAGGGTTGGCCCCGCTGCTGTGGCCGAGCGAGCGGCGCTCCGACCAGCGGAGCTCCACGTGGGGGGCCACCTGCTCTTGTGTCCTTTGACAGCATTGCCCTTGAGTGTCCACAGAGGGGGCTCCGGAGCGTGGGCAGAACCCAGGGCCAGTGTGGCAGCAGGTGAAAGGCTCAGGAACAGGGATTTTCTTGATAAAATTAGAAATGCGTCTTCGACATTCTTGGCATCTGGTTATGATAACGTTACTTACAAAAGTAGGAGTAAGTATTTTAAGTCACACAAAGGGAAGAACTATGATTCTGGTACAAAAAATACCACAAGACGTCCATGAGGAGAGCATGAAAATTATTGTGGGACAATGTGCTGCTGTAAGTTGTGCAGTGAAGTGGATCGTGGTCAGCACAGCTGACTGGGAGCAGCAGTTCCCGGGACACGGTGACCCGGCGCGGGCCAGCAGATGGCTGTCGCCTGTGCCTGCCACGGGGTGCCTGAGCCAAGCGGCAGCAGGTCGGTGCACAGAACGGTCTCTGGACGCGCAGCTGAAGCATGTCCTTGCAGCCTGGAGTGGCCGTCCTGGTAGCAGTGGCGTCCAGCAGGGTCCCCTCCGGGACCCCTCACTGTGGAGCAGCCGGGGGTGGTTGGGGGATGCACTCCCACCCTGCTGAGGAGTCGGCAGGTTTCATTCCTGAGTTCCTGGTTCCCTGAGCAGACCTGAATAACCTTTCTCATGTCTCATGTCCTACACTGCTCTGGGCGTTATAGCCTTCCATAGCTTGACCTGCAAGAGTGGAGGGCCCGCATTAGGGTGTGATATTTTGTGATGTTTTCACTTGAGGGACTCACTCGCTCTGGTCACCGTGCTGCCCAGGTGGCGTTGGAGCTGCCCTCCAGCCACACGTCTGGTGGAGCCAGCCTGGCTGGGCCGAGCAGGCGCGGCTGCTGCAGGGGCCGCAGGGGCCTTGGTGGTCTTGGCTCTGTCACGTGCTGGCCGGGTGGCCTGCCCGCAAAATAAGGGCGAGGTGTGCTTCAGGGCTGCTGTGGGGGTTGAGTACATGAGCTGGTACTTGTAAAGTGCTGCCTAAAGAGTACCAGGCACGCATGGGGCGCGGTGAGTGTGAGCACTAGTCTGTTTCGTTGCCCTCAGTGAGGGGCAGGGAGAGGGCTCGTTTCCTGGGTCCCGCTGTCTGGCCCCGGCCCTCACGGTGCCCTTTATGCCTCACCCCATGTTGACTGTCCTATTTGCTGGTCAACTGCACAGCTGATCCTTTCCCAGGGGAACAGGAGACCGTTTGATAAGTAACATTTTCCAGGGTGTTAGGTTATGCCAAGGAATTCAAAGGGTTCCTGCACCTCCCACAAGTCAGCCTGTACTTGGTCGGTGAGCAGGCCTTTCCGGAGCCGTGACCGGCATTTGCGAGCCCCTGCAGGGGCGTCTTCACTCGAGTCTTCGTCCTGGGACTGGAAACGTCTGGTTTCCTCATTCTCAAGGCTGGCACGGTGTTCAACAGCTGTCTGCTAGCACCTGCGTGGTGCACACAGCCGGCCGCCCGCTTTCACGCTCCTACAGGGTGCTCTTGTGTGGTGGACGCACTGTGAGAAGAGGGCAGCAGCCTGCACTGGACCACAGGGCCAGCAACGAGCAGGCAGAGCTGGGCCCCAGCACAGGTCTTACAGCCCAGACCCTGCGGGGGCGTGGCCTGTCCACGGGCCCCAGGGATTTGATAAGGCAGCAATAGGCATCAGATACAATTGTAATATACGAACAAATAAACGTGCGGATAAACCCACCCAGGAAACCAAGGACTTCCTGTTCACAGGAGGGCTGCGGCGGAGCCGTGGGCATGACAGGGGCCGGTCGGCCCATCTGTCTGATTGCTGGCCTCAGTCTGAGCCCCGCGGAGACACCCCCTAAGAAGGACCACGGTGGCCTGCCTCCTCGGCTGCGTCTGCACCGTCTGGGTGTTCCTGTCCCAGTTCCTGCGCTAGAGCCCCCGCGGGGGGCGGGCGGCACAGCACCACACCCTGCGTGTGTTCTCCAGCGTTTCTGCAGCTCCGTGGTGCGGCTCGCACACGCAGCCAGCCTCACCGTGCCGCCCGGAGCTGCGGGTGAGACCAGCGCAGGGGCCTCGTCGGGGCTGGTGGACGGCGTCCCCGAGGCTGCCGTTCACCACAGGCCGTCGTCCCTAAACACACTTCTGACTGCGTTCCTCTTGACTTTTATTTTTTGTTTGAAAGAAGTATTTCAGCTTCACAAGTTTTTTTCTATACAGATGCGAACAGTTCGTCTTCCAGGGCCCCTGTGTGTGGAATATTCGTGGACTTTGCAGCCGCCTCACATCGTCAGAAGAGTCGGACTCAGGCCCTTAAGCAAAAGTAGGTGTCCTGGGAAATTTGCAGAAGGTGCTGCGACACTTTAACGTCTTTTCCTTCAGCTCACTTTAAAATAGACTTCATTTGTTTCACTTCGGACTGTACGTTCTTTCATTTGTACCGCGTTTCTCTGCACTGGGCTGTCTAGTCCACAGGGTGGGAGTGTGCCACTCAGCACCCAGGCCCACTCGAGTCTGGACTCGCCCGGCGCGGCTGAGGTGGCTGCGTGTGCGGCCCGAGGTGTGCAGCCCAGAGCCCCCATGTGTGAATCGCTGTGTTGGGTCCTCAGGGCCCGTCCGGTGGGCGGAAGTGGCTTCCAGTCTCATCCCTGGGCTTTTGAGCTGAGGGCTCACGAACGCCCAAGTCCAAGCCCCTGATGACTAACCTGTAAGATCAGTTCGAAAGTGAGAGGACACAGTCTGAAGTCCAGGCTCCGCAGCGTTAAACGCACACGTGGCGTGGGAGTGGATGTAAAAAGCTCACATGTTCCAAGTTCCAACCTGTCGTGCAGCTCGGAGCAGGGCCTTCGTGAGTACGCAGTGCACTTTACTGAACGAGCAGATAAGTCATTAGTCATAAAGTCCGTAACACTTAATGATAAAAATAAGTCTCCACAGCACGATTGTTACCCTCATATTTTGGGCTGCCTGTCGAGATAGTAAAACCAGTTTCTGCCATTGTGGCTGGATTTTTTTCTTGTGATTTGTTTTTTACCTAATTCAAAGCTTAGAAACTAAATTCAGTTTAACACGATTTTCACAAACTCGTGAACAGTCAGAACTGTGCAGTGCGTCATCCAGGCAACGCGAACGGGAGGTGTCATTGTGCTTCACACAGCGAGCAAGCGGAGGCCGCCGCCTCCGGGTGGGCTCGCGGTCCGAGGACGTTCGCCATGTTACCACGTGTGATGTGCAGCCGTCTCACAGGAAGTACTGTGGATCGAGAATTCTATCAAATGTTTGAGAAGAAAACTTAAAATAAATCAGAGGCTGAAACACAATGGGTTGATGATAAGGAAAAGTGTAGGGATACCTTAGAGATCTGTGGGTGGGTTCTGGCGTTTGTGTCTTTGTGTAGCAGGGACGGACAGCGTAAGCCGCAGGGCACCGATACTGCTGGGCGTGATTCATTACCTAGAGACGGAGTGGGGGGATGGAGACCCGCGTTACAGTCTGTCCACCCCAAACGCAGCGAAGAGAGAGACAGGTGAGAAAGCACAGGTCACGTGTGAGAGCACAGGTCACAGGTCCCTTTCTCAGGGACCGGGAAGAGTTCCCGAGACTAAAAGCAGAAATAAATTTCTGTAAGGCGCTCAAGTCCATAAACTTGACAGAATTTAAAGGTAATTGGTCAGTTGGGAAAATATACTTGCAGAATGGTAGAGGTTTACGACTCCTAACGCATCAGCTGTTTCTATAATTTAGTAAAGCACAGCCAAGTATCAGTAGAGAAACTTGGGCAGAGGGCAGTTCCAGCTAGAGACCCAGGTGGGAGGACAGCGGCCGTGGGAGCACTGATAGAAAGGGTGACGCAGTGATGACCACCTGGTGCTGGGAGGCTGCGGAGCTCAGGGACGGGCACCCTCCGGGGCGGGGGGGCGGACTGGCAGCCCCGAGCCCTCGGGGCAGGGAAGCCACGTGCTCACTCCCACCTGCTGCCCCAGCCTCCACCCGAGGGCCTCAGGCAGTCGGTGGGTACAGGAGAATATGAGTCTTTCACGTAGTCAGGGAAATGGGTGTTCCAACAGCAGTGAGATGATTTTTTTCTCCAGGGACAGGTGAAGCTGTAAGCACTGGTGACACTTAAGTGTCGATGTGAGTGCAGAGAAAAAGCTTGTGACGTATTGGCTCAGCCAGTAAACAGTGGCAAAGCACAGGTCCGTGGGGGCGGGATGGAGCTGACCGGCTGCTCGTGGGACTGGATGACCTGCCACATGCTCCAAGGACCCGTGCAGGGGGTGGCGGGCGCGAAATGTGGCGAGGCCCCAGCAGTACTTCATCCAAGGTGGACGTTACCAGGCCGGGAATGCGTGGTCGACAGGTCTTGGGTAACCATTGAGAGATGACTCAGAAACTTCATATGCCTAACAAGCAGGCATAGAAGAGTTCGTGGAATAATAATTTTTAAAAAGCGTGGTCAGTCCAACAGCGGTCTGGAAGGGAGAGACGGAGGAACAAAGGTCCAGAACACAGAGAGCAACGGGAGGACGGGAGTCCAGCTGGAACCTGCCGGGCTCCGAGGTGCATGTTCACCTGCGCAGAGCATGTCCTCACAGAGCCGCCGGCCGCCTCTGCAACCCGAGGGAAACGCCGCGTGAGCAAACCGGCTGTGCCACAGGCTGACCAGCGAGAGGAGAGCCAGGTGCCTGGGGCATCTCATCACAGCTGCGCCAACACCGTGGAAGGAGACGTGCTGTATTATTTTCAAGAGACAAACCTTCCGTATCAGGACCCGGACAGGCTGAAAAGAGTGGAGAAATATTCCAACCAAACACTAACTAAAATAATGCCCATGTCACTGGTGACTTTTTTCACCGAAGAACACTGGAAAGCAAGAAGATTACGAGAAAGTCACTTACAACAACACAAGGGTCAGTCCTGCAGAGGAGTCCAGTGGTCCAGCCCTGCGTGCGCCCGAGCTGGGGCCACGCCTCCCGGCACCACACACGCAGGGGTGCACGCAGACACAGCGCAGTCTCGAGCAAGTCTCTCTCGGGAGCGAGAGACATCGGAAACACAAACTTGAACAGTGCAGTTAACACACCACACCCGGCATGCATGGAGACTGAACCTACACCTGCAGTTTCTCTGCTGTTTCGAAGAATCCAGAGACCATCCCTCAAAAAGATCATGTGCTCCGATCGTGGGATTGAAAAGGTAGAGAATGTTTTCTGACCAGAGTGGAATTAAGGTAGAAATCAGTAACTAAAATGTAACTAGGAAATACCCAAGACTTTGAAAAATAAGGAGCATACTTCTAAAACAAACTGTGGGCCTGAGAAGATGCTGGATGGCGATTAGAGCCAGCTCTCAACGGTGGTCATTGTGGAAACCAGCCTTGGTGACTGGCAGGCACAGCCAGAGCCCTCCCAAGACCTTTGGGAAGGCAGAGGCTGCCCCACTCATCTGTCTTGGGGGTCCGGGAAGAAACAGGAAGGAGGAAGAAGGAACAAGATAGGAGAAGATAAGGGCACAATTCCATGAACTTGAAAGTGGCCAAATTCAGCAAAGCCCAAGTGAACTCTTTGAAAACTTTCATAAAATGTATACCCCCAGGAAGTCTGGCCAAAGGGAAGAAAGCAAGCCAGACCGAGTACTCGATAGCAAGGGAGGGGAGGGGACATTGCCACAGGCCCACAAACACCAGGGAGGCAGAGGATGGTGCCGCACACAACTCATGTCCGTGAGGACACCCGGGACACAGCAGCCGGCTCACCTGCCGCACGTGCCGTGTGGTGGGAGTCGCATGCAGGGTGGCGGCCGTGGGTGAAGGGTGCCTGCTGCCTGAGCCCCAAGTGTGCGGAAGTCCCAGTGCGTGACGTCTGCAGCTGCCAGGGCACAGCTCTCCAGTCAGTGGGTGACAGTGGACGTCAGCCCGCCAGCACTGGGTCGTCTGGGAGCAGCAGGGAACAGCCGGGGCAGCTGGATGGGACACCCGTGTGCAGAGGGGAAGCCAGCACGTGCTGGGTTTGGGAGCCTTTTTGCAGGGAGGGTGGTTTGCCCCTCAGACTCTGCAACGTCGAGGGTCTCCTGCACCTGGAGGACGGTGGGCACACACACCTGACACATTTGCTCAGGCCCCGGCACAGGTGACGGCACAGACAGGTGATGCTGGTCTGCACATAGCCGTGAAGTGAAGCGAATTGCTTTCCATGGAAGTTCTTGGAATACAAGTCCTGACTTTGTTTTGTGCTGTCTCGGGGGCTCTGCATGAGAACCACGGGGAATGGGGGCTGTGACGGTCTCGCATCGCTGGTCCCCCCCCCCCCCGAGAGACCGCTGAATACCTCAGCGAGCTCCGGCCATGGGGCTCCTGGCCCCCAGCCCCATCGGACCCGAAGGGTCCTCACACTCTCCTACGCTCCCCTATGCCTCTTAGTCAATTTAACTTTGTTTTGTTTCCAATTTGTTTGGAAGGACGCGCAGCACGAAGCTGCTTCGGCTCATTGACCTGGATTTTTCATTCACATTCTCTCTGTTGGATCTGCCACCAGTAAATGAATACGACATGTACATCAGAAACTTTGGGAAAAAAAACACCAAGCAGGTCAGTACTGCAGGCATTGACTCAGCGACGAGATGCAGCTGAAGCGCAAGGCAGGTTCATGCTGTTCCCTCTGTCTTGTGCTAAACGGAGGGGGCTCAGGGATGTGCGGGGGACATGGGTGGAGGGTGGAAGGGACCCCCCCGCCCCGCACATGTGTGGTCCTAGACAGGGAGACAGTGCGTGCCCACGTGTGGCGGGCTGCTCCTGCGCTCTGAGTGCGGCGGCTTGGAGGGCCCAGTGTCAGCCCTGGTTCCCTTGCTCGGGGTCCCAGTGAGGGTGTGACCGTCACCAGGCAGGGTCTCCGTGCTGTGCACTCGGGGATCCAAGCTCCCCAGAGGTGACCCAGCCTCGTCCCGCCATCTCTGTCCCATCACACCTCCGCCTGTGCGCCCACCCTCTGCCGCCTGCCTGCATGCTCCTCAGGGCGTGCCCCCTGACGGTGCACACCGAACTCCTCATGCGCCAAAGCCACCACAGCACCATGTATCCCACCTGGTGCTGGGCTCCCCGTGGCGCTGCTTTCTAGCTGTTAACATCGTGATTGTTCGACTTCCCAAAGTCTGAAGCCGGGGACCGTCTCTTCACTGTCCCTGCTGTCCCTGTCAGTGCCATCAGGTGACACGCTGGAGGGTCCAGTCCGACAGCGAGACGCTCAGTGGGGAGGCGGCCCCTCCCGCTGAGTCCCTCTGCCCCTTCACCTCCCAGCATGCACTCGGTCACACACTCTCTTCCCCGAGGCGGGCGCCTCGTGAGGCACAGCGGCACCTCGGGTTGGCAGAGTCAGTGGGCTGCTAGGACACTGGCCGTCGGTGGGCGGCGTGGCCGTCCTTGACCCGAAGCTGGTTGTGTGGGGGGCTCTTCAAGAACCCGGGAAACGGGGGCTGTTGCGAGGGGCAGATGGCCGCATGACCATTACTTATCCCCCTGAAGCAGGGGGACTGCCCCGAGTAACTTCTGGTTTTCAGTGTTTCTTCTCTGTAGCGAGAGCTGGCACTGGAGCCGAGGCCCCGTGCTGACGCGGCCCCTCTGTCTCTCAGGCGTACGTGCAGTGTAACGAGGACTGCGTGGACCGCGACGTGCAGACGGAGGAGACGGAGACCCGGGCGGTGTGGACGCAGCACCCAGGGGAAGGCTCGGCCACGTCTGGGGGTAAACCGCTCTGCTCCTGCGCGCTGGGGGTTGAATTTCTTCCCACCATGTTCAGTGTTGTGTTCCTGCATTTCTGTTCTTTCTTCTTCTTCCTCTGGGGGGGGGGGGGGTGGTCGGGGCCTGATGAGGGCGTCCTGGGCACTCTGAGCAGGGCAGCCAGACAGGCAGCCTGCACATGGGCGGCGGGTGCCTGAGTTGTGTTCTGCACACACGCCGTTCTCTGTCCTGTGTACGCTGACTGCCACCTTCCTGATGGCTGTCGAGTCTGACGAAGGGCCCGGGTGTCCCTCTTTCCCCAGGGCAGCCTGCCGTGAGATGTCCCACACCCACACGCAGCCCTCACGCCCAACCTGCGCTCTGTCCCCGGGGCCGGCAGAAAGAGGCTCACGGTTGTGAGCGCGGAGCAGAGTGTGCTCCTGCGTGGCTCTCGTTAGTGACGGTGTCAGTGGGGTCTCAGCTGGGACCCTCGTCGTGCGTGCCCCTGTGTCTTACTTGGTGCCTTTAAGTGGGATCTGTTCACACACTCCACAGAGCAAGGGCAAGTGGCTGTCTCAGTTAAATCGATCCGGGCGGCGTGGGGTAATGACGTCATATGAGTGGCAGGTGTGCGCACTTCCCCTCGTCCCTGTCCTTCTGTCAGGATGCAGTTGTGCTCGGAAACATCACTGGGGGCCCAGAGATGAGCGTGGGGCTTGCCGAGTGCCCCCTCCTGGGTCCCAGGGCCCGCCCCTCTGCCACGAGTGAGGCGTGGCTGGTGGAGGGCCCACCTGGCCGGTGTTCTGCAACCTTTTTTAGGGAGCGAGAACAGAGGCCCCCGTGCTGCGGACATGCTGAAGATCAACACGCCTCGTCTGTCCAGTTTCCTCCGGGCGGCCTGCCAGGTAGGCCCCCCGGCCGGGACCACCGGGTTTCTCCAGCTCTGCCGGCTGTGCCCGAGTCCTGGGCCCACACGGCAGCTGTTCATCCTGAAGCGAATGCAGACTGGAGAGCACACTAGGCTGGCAAACAGGGTCCATCAGGGTGTTGAAACTGTGAACCTGAGGACTTTTAAACCGATTGTGGAAAGTCCTGGAACTGCATGCAGAGATGAGGGAGCAGCCTGGGGCAGCCATGTGCGTCCACGGTGGTCACCTCTCGCCCTCACGCCCAGACCGCCCCATGAATGCATCTGCCCGACTCTCTGGGGACACGACCCTCACCTACAACACTTCTAGTGCCATCAGTGGAGGGTCGGGGTCCCTAGCCCCACACATGTCTCATTCCGTGTGTGAGGTCCTACTTGCACTCACACCAGGGGTGGCCTCTCCTCCGGGGAGCCCCTGGGGGCCGGGGGACAGGCCAGGACAGACGGTGGGGGCAGGGGGCAGAGGGCAGAGGACCGGCAGTGCTGTGGGGAGACTGCCCCGAGCCTGCAGTGTCCTGGACGGCCCTGAGGCGGCTGCCGGCTCCCTCTCTGTCCTCGGCCACCGTGAGGCCGACGGTGGTGGCCCTGGCCAGCTGGTTTCCTCATACGGTCAGTTCAGCAGACTCTGCCATGAGAGGTGACTTACGCCGTTAACACCAGCTCTCCCAAGGCACGAGTTTCAGGGGGGCCGCCCTCGGCTTCTCCTCAGGGCTGACAGACAGACAGTGTGGTGCCGGCCTTTCGGAGTCTGTGGTGGCTGGGAGTCGAGCAGCCGCTGGGACGCGCCTGAATGAATGGGCGATGACTGGTGTCTGTCTCTCCAGTGAAGGGCGCGGGGAGGGCTGGCTCAGCTGCTCAGCCCTCAGCTGCTCCCTGTCTTTGGAAGGTGGTTGCAGTTTTGCTGGAAGAGGACCGTGTGGCGACGGCCCCCGGCCGGGACCCCAGCGTGCAGGGCAGCACCCTGCCCCTCAGCACCAGCTCCTGTCCGCTGAACACCAGCCTGCCCTTCCTGCAGCGTAAGAGCCCACAGGCTGCTTAGACCTGACCCCAAGCATGGCGCCGTTCGACAGTGGACAGACAGACGGAAGTGCTGTGGGTCAGACAGCATGAACTGGTTGAAAGAGGAGCATGCGTAGCGGGTCGGACGGGGCGAGTTCTCAGGAGGAAAACCGCGTGGGCCAGGGAGGGAGCGCGGTGGCAGGCAGTTACTGTCCCCGAGGAAGGGGCCCGGCGGTGTGAGGGCTGAGGGCCCATGTCGGTGGCCTGGCTCTGGGCCTGGCTGTACCGAGTTTGAAGGATCCCCTTTTAGTAGAACCACAAGGCAGCTCGGCCCATTTCTGGGTAGAGCTGTGACTGTTTGTCCCCCCAGGTCCAGGCCTGTTCCCTCACTGCGCTGAGGCTCACGTGCGCGTCCCTCAGTGCGCCGCTTCGACACGGGCCTGGCAGATCGCCAAAATGCAGAAACACCGTCCGTCTCTGTCCACAGATCGGACCGTGTCCTGCCTGCATGCCTCTCAGGTTCAGAGCCGCGTGGTGGTGTCTGTGCACGGTCTGCCCGAGAAGGCCTTTGCCACGCCGCTGGACGGCAGACACGTGCTCTGCGTGTGGGACATCCGGCAGCCCTCAGGGCCGCAGAAGGTCCTGGTCTGCGAGTCGCAGGTACGACTCGGGAGAGCCATGGGGTTGGGGGTGGGGGGCAGGCGGTGTGGGGCACGGGGACGCAGGAGGATGGGAACGGACGGGCCCTTTCTCTTTCCTGCCGACCCCCCTGCCCTGTCTGTTGACTCTAGAAATTGTTGGTTCAAGGACGGGCTCGCCAGGAAGCCTGGGCCACATTGGGGGTTGTGTGTGAGCGTGGCCCCGGGCGCGGGGGTGCGCTGTGCCGCGCCGTGCGGGTCCTGGACAGGTTAGAGGTCTCTCAGTGGCCTGAGCCTTCAGTCCACGGGCGTGTGTGTGTCCCGGCCCCTGGTTCACAGGCCATGGTCTGGGGGCCACGCAGGTTGCCCTATTGATACGCTCCATGACCTCCGAGTTCTTGATTTCCACCAGAATGCAGAGAACAATAACTTGGTGGACGTCAGTTTGGGGGCTGGAAATAGTGTTTGGTGACGTGGGTTTTAAACAGACAGGTGGCTTTGCTGACAGGGATGCACTGGGCCATGGAGCACACACGTGCCTGGCCGTGTGTGATGCCGCCTGCTTTCCCCGCAAGGAGGTCAACACTCAGACCGGACCACTCGACGTGCCGCGCAGCTCCTGGCAGGGGGGGGTCGCAGGGACGCGTGGGAATGAAGAGCCGTCCGGGTGTCTCCCCAGGTTACCTGCTGCTGCCTGAGCCCCTCCAAGGCCTTCCTGCTGTTTGCGGGGACTGCCCACGGCTCAGTCGTCGTGTGGGACCTCCGAGAGGACGCTCGGATGCACCACTATGTCAGGCTGAGCGACTGCTGCTGGACGTTCAGGACGGCGACGTTTTCCACAGGTCAGAGAGCCCGCGGGCATCTCTGGACCAGCCAGGACGTGTGGGGGGTGCCGGAAACACCTTGGTGTTCATTGTCCAGGTTCCAACCTGGAAGGTGGGGTCTGACCTCTGAGCACACGAGGCGTTTGACCAGTAGAAGAGCAGGAATATACCTGCAGGGGACAGTGAGCAGGCGGCTGTGTCCTTTCTGTCACATTTGTGGATTCCCATTGGTCGGTGGAGTGACACGTAGTTTTAAGTTAGCTTAGGGTGTGTTGGTAAAGGTGCTCCCGGCTTAGTTAACTCCACCAAGGGGCTGGGAGGAACCAGAACAGCTGGACCGGCCAGGATCCTTGGTTAGACCCCACCAACCCTTCATGCCAGGCGGCTGCAGCTGCAACCACAACCACACAACCACAGCCACACACGACCACAGCCCACCAGCCACAGCCACACCTACCGCAACCAGACAACCACAACCACAACCACTCACTCATAGTGGCAGCCACCCCCTGCCACTCAGCAGGAGCTCTTGTTCCGGGGCTTTCTCTCAGTGCCTCCATGGTGTCATTCGTTAATGCCCATGTCACCCTCCTTCCCAGCTGCTCGGGGACGCGAGGGGCCTGGCCACTTGCACCAACCCTGGCTGGTTGTCTCCGTGCCGTCTGTCTTTCTGTTCTCCAGGGAGCCCTCGGCCCCAGCCCTGCGTGGTGTGCGTCTCTGCCTTCCCGCCCCCGCTGGTCAGTCCCCCGTCTCCGCACCTTGCCTTTCCCAGACGTCAGGCACTGGGAGTCGTAGGGAGTGCAGACCGTGGGACCCGGTGTCCTCCCTCGGGCGGTGCTTCCATGGCTCACAGTTCGTCCCCCTCTGCCGAGTGGTCTTTTTGTTCCAGAAACCACCCAAGTGGTCTGTCCTCCGCCGGCTGGTGGATGCCTGGTTGATTCCCGCTGGCGGTCTGTGGCCCCTGACAACGCGCCCACCCTATTCTGTGCTCCTGCAAGGCGTGAGCTCCGGGAGCCTGCACCCTGGGTGGCCTGCGGGCCGGCCAGCGTGGGCACCTCCCTGGGGCTCTCATCCGCGGTGCCCTGGTGACACGGCTTGTGGGGGCAGCTCATGTGCTGTCTGCTGTGGTGCGTCCTCGGTGGCCTGCCCACTCGGGTCTTGTACGCAGTTCGAGTCCGCGTCTCTCTTTCTCGCTGTTTAGCGCTGATGGCCCCGTGTGTGTTCTGGCTGCCAGGCCTTCACCAGACGTGCGCACACGTGGCCTCTTCTCCAGGCCGCGCTCCCTCCTCGTTCTCCTAAACTCTCTTCCTGGCCAGCCCCGCGTGAGACTCTGCCGCTGCGCGCGCACACACGCGCGGCACGTCTGCCTGTCTGGGCGTGCGTGTCTCACACGTGCAGGGAGCAGCTATTTCGGTTTGATTCTGCCTCCCAACAACAATTCTCACCCCTTGCCGAGCGACATCAGCCCGTCTGGGACTGTGTGAGTGCCCCGGGGCCTGCGGGGCCGATGCCGTCGGGAAAGACGCACTGCCCGCGTCACCGATGCAACTCGCCCGCCGTCCAGGCTCCGGAACGGGTTGGGGGGGGGGTGCTGCCCATCAGCAGCAAACCTGTGGTCCCCGCTTCACGTCCAAGACGGGCCGTCCTCCTTGCAGCCTCTCTCCTCAGCTCAGACCGGCCCCTGCCGTGTTTCTGGCTGTTTTGTTTTTTGATGTTGTTCTCTGTCTCCGGTTTCAGGCATTTCTGTGTGTTTGCTTTTCGAGGCTCCGGGATGCGAGGTGCAGGTGGAGCTTGGGTTTTCTGTTCCGTGCCTGGTTTGGGGCAGTTCTCCTCTCTGGAACGCTGTGTGTGGCGTCCCTCCCAGCATCCTGTCCTGGGGGCTAGGGGCCAGCTGCGCTGCGTCCTTGGGTCTGCAGTGTCTCTGGCGGGTGGAGCTGGGCGGCGAACCGTCTCTCCCTGCAGGTCGTCTGTCCTCATGGCCCATCCCGCCTGCAGACAGGACGGCCGTCTGCCTGCTCATCGTGGGCAGTTTGGGGCCCGTGGTCTCTGCCTCGCGGTGATTCGGGAAGCCACGGCCACGTGTCACTTCCATGGGGTCCTTCCTGGGGGTCCCGGCAGCACGTGTGTGTGCCCTCGTGGGGTGCGCTGCGTGTCTGTGGCGTGCCGCTCATGGCGGGCCGTGTGCCTTCCCCAGACGGCCTCCTCTCCTCCGCGGGCCACTGCAGCCCCCTGCGTGCCGTGGAGCCCGTCTCTGCGTCCAGCTGCAAGAAGCAGAGTCTCGTCCTCTCGCCCTTCTCTGCCCAGGAAGGTACGTGACCCTGCTCGGCCGCACGCCCGCGCCCCCGTGGGTGACGCGGCTCCTTGCTGACCAGCCACTTTCTCTCTCCATGTGTGTCAGAAATGTCGGGCTTGTCATTCCACATCGCATCCTTGGATGAGAGTGGGGTTCTCAACGTGTGGGTGAGTGGGGCACACAGGAGTGGACCCCGCACTCCTGGGCTCTGGGAGTGGACTGCACGGCCAGCCCACCGAGACCGCGCTGGCCAGCAGCAGGCGGGGTGGGGAGTGACGGGGACGTCAGGGCAGGTGGGTGTCAAGGAGCCTGCAGGGCCCTGTGGGGACAGGGAGGCAGGCGCACCAGTGACAGGCAGCAGGGACTGAGGGGGGTTGCTGGGCCCAGAGCGGCTCGGGCTGCCGGCCACCGACCAGTCACCGAGGGACGGGAAGGAGCAGAGCAGGGGGGTCCGGCTCGTCCCGAGGGCGGTGGCCACCGTGCTCAGTGCAGCAGCGGCGTCTGCAGCCCCTGAAGCAGACGCTGTGTCCATCAGGCCTGCTCTCTGCTTCACTTGTCTCACACTCACGAAAGGCATTGACATTCGTTTCACTGTTCTGTTTTAGGTGGTCGTCGAATTACCAAAGGCAGACGTGGCAGGTTCAGTAAGTGATTTAGGTAACTATTAAGGGAAAACACTAGTTTCAGTCAATGCTACAACAAATAAAGAACCACTTCAAGAAATAAGTAGTTAGCTACCTGGAAGACAGACGTTACATTTTGTATTTTGTACCTTATCAGCCGCCAAGTGAGCCCCTCTGTGGCGGGGGTTGGAGGGTGTTCAGGCCGAGTGTCGTCAGGGGGGCTTGTAAGTTCTGTGTGCCACCTCGTGCCCCGAGGCGCAGGTTGGGGACGTCTGGGGGTTCGGGGCTCTGCTGTGTGTGCCTTGGGTGAGTGGCCAGCCGGGAGCCCCCCTTGGGGTCAGGACTGAGTGTTCATTCACTGATGAGTCTTCCCTGAGCAGCCCGGCCCCGTCCCAGGTACCAGCAGACAAGAGCGAGTGCACAGGGAGTGAGGCTTTGGGGACACGTCAGACGGGGTTCGAAGGGGTGCTTGTCAAGGGCACGGGCCCCGGTCGGGGGTGGCTTCTCGGGGAGCAGTGACGGGAAGGTGCAGGGCCGCTGCCCACCTGTGACGGCTGCAGGCACTCTGTGACTACAGCCACCTGTCCAGCTGCGTGTCGAGTTTGTTCATGTGGTGGTTTTAAGGAAGTGCCTTGCCCAGGATTTGGGTTTTAAGATACATTTCTAGTTCCCCTTTGCAGAAATGACCAAACGGGAGGATGGTATTGGGAATAGACAGAGGAAGCCAGGCCAGAGGATGGCCAGGGGCCAGGGGGAAGTTGTGGGAAGGCGTGGTGTCCTCTGAGGTCAGGAGAAGGGCAGAGGCGGGTGGGGGGAGGGGCTCCCTGTTTTCCGCCAGAGCCCGGCAGGTACTTGTTCACGCGTGTGCTTCTGTGAGGAGCCTAAGCTGTGTTAAATTCTGTTAGTTTGGTTTTGCCTTACTTTATTTTACTGAGTCTGAAACGTGAGGGCTTCCTGACTCCACCAGCCCATTCCCAGAGGCTGCGACCTGCAGGGGCTTCTTTCTCACCGAGCACAGAGGGGCGACCGGGGCAGGCCGCCCATCTCTGCCTCACCGCCTCACCCCGGCTCCAGCGGCTGTGGCGGACTCGGTGTGGCTTGTACTAACAGGCACTTTCCTTCCTTTCTCTGTTTCCAGGGTTACTGCCTGGAGGGAGGATAAAGTTGGTGCACAGCGCTGTGTCTCACCTGAGGGACAGGTAGGACCTCCCCTCCCGGAGCAGGGCCAGCCCACCCCACCCCCCAGGTGCCGCAGACTGAGGTGGCGGCTGATGCCAGAGATTAATGAGTCCGTGGGCAGCCAGCCTCTTGTCCTTGATTAAAGCCTCGCCCGTCGTACAAAGTGGCACCGTTCGCCTGTTTGTCACCCAGTGTCAACACAGCCGTGCAGCAAGGTGGAACCAGAAACGACCTGAAAGTTTCTTTGAGAAGTTCAGATTTCCCCTCGTAGTCACGTAATGTGCTGTGACGTGCATGTTCTTGTGAAACACGCAGGTCCCGTTTGTGGTGCCCTTGTTCCGTGCCGGTTGGTTTCTGGAAGAAGTCCGTTCTGTCCTTTGCTGCACTCAGGGGGCTCCGAGCAGCACACGGTTCGCCCGGGAGAAGTGGCGATCGGCCGCGCCCCCATCACCAGGCAATTGCCCGGGAGCTGGAGGCAGGACAGGCCTGAGACTGTGCACCACCTTCAGCCGATGTCAGTGCAGTTAACACAGCAGTCAGTCACGTTTACAGGCGTCAGCTAACACATAAAGAGCCAGCCAGAGGGGACCCTGGGCTGGTCACAGAGCCCAGTGCCTCATGCACACGGGGCCCCTGGGCCCCTGTAAGGGTGCAGACCGGTGGTTACAGCAGGCCCTGCAGGTGGGCGTCCTGTGCTTGTGAGGGGTCTTCATGGGGGTCCCTTGGGACCCGTGCCTAGAAAGGGGAGGAGGCACAGACGTGGCCGTGAGGAGTTGCTGACTCACACGGGCCACAGACAGCCACCTGCCCTGGAGCTCTGCCGGCACGGCTCTCCGGAGTGTCCTCGCCAGGCCCGGGCCCTCTGCCATCGGTCACTGAGCTGGGGAGTCTGAGGCGGGGGCACCCTGGGTAGTGGCCCATCCCCCCTTCACCGTGCACATGCCAGACACACGAGTCACTGGGTCAGGACCTGCACGTGGTATGGGGGTGCTCAGAGGGCCATCCGTGGGACGAGTGAACAGTGTCTTCTCAGAGAGGTGACCAAGAGCAAGCTCTGGTCAGAGGGGCAGTAGGTGACCATTTGGGGCAGCGCCGGGTAGTTTGCCGTCAAGACAGAAGGGGGCATCCGTGGCCAGACCCGAAGAGCATTTGCTGTGCGGAGGGTCTCCACAGCACTCTTGCTGGTGGCAGGACGCCATTCACAGCTGAGCCTGGAAGGCGGGCGCGGTGCAGAGGGAGGCAGTTGTAGGGCCCAGTGTGGTCCCGGCCAGGGCAGCAGGCGCGAGGGAGTGAGCCTTCCAGCCGCAGGGAGAACTGGCCCCGGGGGCCTGGGGTTGCTGAGAGGGGTGACCCGCTCCCCCGCCCAGGTGTCTGGCTCGGTTGCCAGGTCCCACACCCAGATGAGGATCGGGGAAAGGAGGGTGGGGCAGGACCAGGGTTGCCTGGCCGGGCTCAGCTGTGTCCCCGGGGGGCAGGAGGCTGTCCTCAGCCACAAGTGGCATTTGCAGTCCTGAATGGGCGGGCAGGGCAGAGTCCTGGTTCTGACTCAGGCAGCCTGGGCTCCCTGTTACAAAGGGTGCACTGGGTGAGGAGAAGGACAGCAAACTCAGCAGGGACCTTGAACGACCGGAGGCTGGGAAGGTCCAGACCAAAGAGGGAATTGAATCTGACAGGCAGCTTCTGTGCGTGGAGGCCCCGCAGGGAGCCAGTGCTCGGGCCCTGCCGGGCTTGTCCGCAGCCCACGCAGGAGAGCCCGCAGGGCTTGCCCGAGCAGGGAGCTGGGACTGAGGGACGCCTCTGGGGTGCAATGTGCCTGCAGTGGGAGAGAAACCCACCGCCCGCCCCCCGGGGCTGCAGGCTGAGAAGTCAGCACCCCACTCCCAGACCGTGCCAGCCCCGCACTGGGTTCCCGAGGCCCCACAGGAAGCAGCAGACACTGCCCACAAGGAGGCACCTGCACCATCTGAAAGGCCGGGCGGGCGGGGGGCGGGGATCGCTGTCTGGGAACAGTTCCCATGGGAGAGGCAGAAGAGCAGCTCAGACGCAGCCAACGGAGTCCCCCAGAGCACAGGGACGGGAACAGGGTCAGCATTCAGAACCCAGCCCGTGAAATGGCCTGTCACTCCCCCACTGACGCGTGGCGGTGGCCAGTGCCACCTCTGTCCTCGCTGTTCAGAGCCCTGTCTGTGGGTCCCTGCTGTGTTTTCCAGCCTTCCCCACAAAGGCGATGGACGCTGGGGGGCCCCGCAGACACTGGGCGTTAAATTTCTGCCCGCGGACCCTGATCGCTTCGTCGTGGGCACCAACGTGGTGAGGAGCGTCCTGATCCTGGTTCCAGAACTCGCCCTTCTTCCCCCGGGGCCGCCTGACGAACACTGGCCTTTTAGGGCTGAGTTCGCCGGGCCGAGCCCACTGCCCCGGTGACCGTTGTCCTCTCCTCCCAGGGTGTTGTAGGCCACGGTGCCAGGCAGGGGCTGAGGGTACCCCCCAAGTGCTTCAAGCCCCGCCAGCGAGGCCCAAGGCCGGTCAGCGTGAGTGCAATCGACTTTTCGCCATTCGGAGAGCCGCTGTTCTTGGTAAGGAGTCATGTTGTGATGCGCTGGTCGGTCCTGGGTAGGTGACACTTGCAGGGACTGGTGGGGACTTCTGAGCAGATCACTTTCCAGTGCCCTGGGCCCCACGGGCTGGCGCAGGTTCTCACTGCGGGGTCGCCTGCAGGTCCTGTCCACACGGGTCATGATGTGGCTGCTGGGGATCTTCGTAAAGCTTTGTGTCCTTACATAGTTTCAGTCCTGGAGCCGCATCTGCCTGTGCTCCCTCTGCGTGTGGACACTCGTCCTGTGGCTGGCTGGGCAGTTGCAGGCGGGTGCCTGTCCCACATGGCCGAGTGCGGGTTTCCCTCCCAGCCGCAGTTGGGCGGTTGTCACCGGGAAGCTAGTGCAGGGGCAGTCTGCCACCTGACTTGTAGCTGTGACAGAGTGTCCTGGTCGTCCCAGTAACGTCCTTCAGACGCAGAATAACCTCCCAGGCCACGCGTCTCATCGGTTGCCGCATCTCCTCAATCTCAGGCAGTTCCTCGGTCTCCCGTGACGCTGACAGCTCGGCAGGGCATAGGGTGCTCCTCAGGCTGAGTTTGGGGGTCAGGTTCCAGCCTATGTCCTCACCCGTCTGCAGGTTCCCTGGACTGGGGGGGGAACCACCTCTGAGGGGCCATCATCCTCCCTTTCTGATAAATGGACATGGTGTGTGGGGGGACGAGGGTCCTGCTGCCCCTCACATGCTCACCTGCTTCATCACATGCTCACCTGCATTCAGGTGTGGTCCTTGCCAGCATCCGTTGTCAGGGTCATTGCGGGCGGTGGGTGGCTTTCCCTTCGTTGTGAATGCCACATGTACTAGTTGGCTGCCTCCTGTATGTAGGTGTGTGTGTTTAGGTGTGTATGTTTCGCATATAGGAGGCGTGTATGTAAGTGCAGACACATGGCTCCTTACTCTCCTTGGGGTTCATAGTCCTGTGCTGCCTCTGTGCTCTGCTCAGCCTGTCCCTGGGGGCGTCCTTGCAGCCGGTTCTCATGTCCTTCCGACGCTGTTCTCTGACACCTGTTTCGGGTCCGCCCTCTCTCCAGGGAGCCCGGGCTCCTGTGGGGAGACACTGTTGGAAGCCCAGACCAGGGCGGGCAGAGTGCTCGGTTCGCAGGCCACAGGCCACACCCACCCCACCCCTGCAGGCCCCACGGGAGGCCGGCTCATCCGTCACTCGGTCCTCAGGCCCACAGAGCCCTCCTGGCTGCGTTCGAGTGTGCGATGGGCTGGATATGCAGAGCGAAAAGCACTCGAAAGCCCTTTTTTAGCTAAAAATTTGGTCTGTTAGTAAACCAGCTAAGTTGTGTTTGAGGGACTTTTCAGTCCAAGGGGCTATGTAACACTATTATTGATGTAAACATGCGTGGCCTTTTTAAAAGCAGCTTATTGTCACGGGGCCAGTCCTAATGTCCTGCCCTGGAGTCAGCAAGATTCCACTTTGCTAAAAATGAACACCTCTTCCCACGTTCACTGAGTTTGGGGGCGGGGCAGCTGCAGAGTGTACCAGACCCTCCGAGGGGGGTGCTCATCTTGGTGGTTTGCCAGGACAGATTTAAGGTTAGAATTTTATGTGCCGAAAACAAAAACTACACCAAATTATTTTTTGCTATATGAACTGAAAAAAGCGAATGCTCTGAAAAATGTCCCTTCTGCTGGGATTGGGCAAAAAAAGAAAAGAACCTTGTGCACAGTGTCACCCCCACCCCCACCCAGGCCGGCTGCAGCGACGGCAGCGTCCGGCTTCACCATCTGGCCTGCGAGCGGCCGCGCCTGCAGTGGGACCGCAGCACCGGGGGCCGCGCCGTCGCCGGCCTGCAGTGGTCCCCGACCAGGCCCGCGGCGTTTTTCGTCTGGGACGACGCTTCCTGCCTTTACATCTGGGACCTCCTGGAGAGCGACCTGGGCCCCGTGGCCCAGCACCGTGTCTCCCCAGACGGGTGAGTCCCCGAGACCCTCGGCCCCGCCCTGTCCTCCCTGTGGGAGCGCCACCGGTGGGCTTTTCATTCATGCACAATGGTCCGGTACTTTTAAAGAAATGCTGTTAACTTGTACTTACGTGTAAGTATTATTTTTATATTTATAAGTTCAAGTAATATCTGAAACACTGGAGTGCGTGTGTCTCAGTGTGGTCCAGAGTGGCCTGTGGGGTGCAGAACTCACCGTGGCCCCAGCGTCTCTGCGTGGCCCAGGGGGAGGGCGAGGGCCTCCGTCTGGTGTCCAGAAGGGCTGTCGCCTGGTGATTGGCACCTCCCATGACTCAGTCGGGGACGCTTCTCGGCCCCAGAGCGAGGTCGCCGTCACCCCAGCTGTGGGGCTTCTGTGTGGACGCAGGTGCATGTGGGGGTGGGGCCCAGCCCTGATGTGCTCCAGCAATTTCCATCTTGTTCTATTAATTGAAACTTGAAATATTCATAAAAGCTCCCGTTGTGCAAGGGGTTCTCTCCTGACCCACTTCGTGAGCTCACTGGCCTTTTTTCTAGAGAATTAGCGTTGCCTGTTGGCCCTCCCTCCTGTGGAGCCCCAGCCACCGGGGGAGGGCAGCCCCCCCAGAAAGGGTCAGACAGCATCACGGACAGCAGGTCAGGGACGCACTGATGGGATCGAAACGATGTCTAGCTCAAGTACTGGGCATGTGCATTTTTACCGTTATTTTAAAAAATGCATCATCAAAACCCAGAGTGTGATTCATGTTTTAACACATAACGTACTTGCAGCTTTTTACAAAAAGTTTGTCAGTTAATTAACAAAACAAATCTTTATTGAGCACCTACTGTGCACCTGGCCGGCTGCCTGCCCCAGGCTGCGCAGGCTCCTGTCCTGTGGGGCGAGGTGCTGACAAGCACAACAGAAGCAGTCGGCGGCCCCACTGTGCGATGGGGAAAATCGAGGAGGGAGGGGTCCCAGTGTGGGCCGGAGGGGGTCAGGACTTTAAAGGGGCAGGACAGGAAGGTCGGGCCGAGGAGGGTGCGGGTCGGCAGAGACTTGGGAGATGGGAGTCTCAGGGGATAGGTGGGCACCCCCGCGTGGCGGGGGCCCTGGCACAGGGTTGGTCGGTTGGGGTTCGTGTGCCAGGAGGAGACCCTGCAGGGCCGAGGCCGCACGGCAGGGAGCAGCTCAGACACAGGGCACCGAGCAGAGACAGGAGCAATCCGGAACGTTCTCCCGGACACTGCCTGCCTCGGTGGGTAGCCGCAGTGTTTAAGTCAAAGAAGTAATGTTCACAGGAAGTGCTCAGTTATTTTTCTTCAACTGCAAAGAAGAACGAGAAACTGATAGGACTTCAAAGGCAGGAGTTACGATAGAAGAATTTGCCACTTTCCGAGCTGAGTTAAAATTACAATGATCAGTAACCTGCTCGCGGTGGCCAGAGGTGGTGAGGCCGCAGAGGGGCTGGTGGCACCTGTACCGTGAGTCGGCAACGCGCGTCAGACCAGCCGTGGTGGCACTGACTGGCGTTTCTGCACCAGTCGTAGGATTTTCTAAACCCACAGAGGTCAGCGGTGAGCCGTGTCCTCCTCTCAATCCATGCGGTCCTGGTCCCCTTTCCTCCCTTTCTGTCATCAGCACCGGAGTTTTCAGTTTGTGGCATTGAGGCTTTGCCTGCATTAACTCTGTAACTGACCAGCAGTGTTGAAGGGCCCAGCAGGTGGTGAAAATTCTCACAACTTGTAATTTTCCAAGACCTGCTCGCCTGTGGTCTCACGAGGGCCAAACTCTCACCTGTCTCTCCCTGAGTGAGGCTGTGGGTTCCCGAGCTGGGGCCCAGGGGGTAGGGCCAGACCGCCTCTCACCCAACAGGGAGGGTGGATGGTGGCCGGACGCTGCAGGGTCCTCGCTGGGCCGGCCCGTGGACCCAGGTGTGCATGTGGGCCTGTCGGGGAAGTTCGTCCTTGGTCCTACCAGGGGTGGTCACAGGCAGTCTGTCCAGCAGCCCTCCAGTTCAGAAATGTTTTCAGCTGTTTGTGTAGACTTGGCTGACCTTTCACTTTGACTCAGTGAGGTGTTCAGAGTCTGTCTTCCTGCTCCCACTCACCTGGGAGACTCCCGGTCCCACAGCCTCTGCTTCTTGCCTCCAGGCTGGTGACCTTGACCGTCGTGGGCGAGCCCGAGAAAACCAGTGGCGGCTTCCTGGCCCTGGTGCTGGCCAGAGCCTCGGGCCGCGTGGACGTGCAGCACGTGAAGAGCCAGTGGGCGGTCCCGGTGGCGGACGAGCAGAGGCGGCTGCAGCGGCTCCTGCAGGAGGCACTTTAGGGGGACAGACAGCGGGGCGTCATCCCCACTGGGGCCTGTCACGTGTGAGCATGTGTGCTGTGTACATAGAATACATATGTTCTGTACAGAATTCATGTTACAGTATGTCATATCATGCTGTAACATGATGTTCCCAGAAAATAAATTAATGTTTTTGAATAGAAACATTTTTAGTGTATCCTGAACTTCAGAGGAAATACAGTCTCGTCCAGGACACTCTTTTTCTGAGAATATTTCTACTTGTTTTTATTTTTTTTTTATTATTTTTTTATTTTTTTATTTTTTATTTTTTTGAATTGTTTATGCTGTTACAGTTGTTCTATTCCCCCCTTCATTCCCCTCCACCCTGCCCCCCCAACCCCCCGATTACCCCCCCTTTAGCTTATGTCCATGTGTCTCAAGTCCTTTAGGTTCTGTATTTCCCATACTATTCTTGCCCCCCCCATCTATTTTCTATCTACTGTCTATGCTACTTGTTTTCTGTACCTTCTCTCCCCGTCTTCTACTCCCACTCCCCTGTTGCTAACCCTACTTGAGCTCTTCATTTCTATGTTTCCACTCCTGATCTAGCTGTCCTTTTAGTTTGCTTTCGTTTTAGGTGTGGTTGTTGATAACTGTGAGCTTGTTGTCCTTTCACTGTTCATGTTTCTTTAACTTCTTTTTCTTAGATAAGTCCCTTTAACATTTCATATAATAAGGGCTTGGTGATGATGAACTCCTTGAATTTGGTCTTATCTGAGAAGCACCTTATCTGTCCTTCCGTTCTAAATGAAAGTTTTGCTGGGTAGAGCAATCTTGGTTGTAGGTCTTTAGTTTTCATGACTTGGAATATTTCTTTCCAGCCCCTTCTTGCCTGTAAGGTCTCTTTTGAGAAATCTGCTGACAGCCTGATGGGGACTCCTTTGTAGGTGATTGTCCCCTTAGCTCTTGCTGCTTCCAGGATTCTCTCCTTCGTTTTAATTTTGGCTAATGTAATTATGATATGCCTTGGTGTGTTCCTTCTTGAGTCCAACTTTTTGGTACTCTCTGGGCTTCTTGGATTTCTTGGAAGTCTGTTTCCTTTGCCAGATTGGGGAAATTTTCTTTTATTATTTGTTCAAATAGTTTTTCCACTGGTGGTTGTGTCTTTCCCCCTTCTGGTACCCCTATAATTCGGATATTGGAGCGTTTATAGATGTCCTGGAAGTTCCTAAGCTTCTCCTCATTTTTCTGAATTCTTATTTCTTCATTCCTTTCTGATTGATCATTTTTTTCTTCCTTCTGGTTTATTCCATTGAGTTGAGTCCCAGTTTTTTTTCATCTCTATGGGTTTCCTGTGGAATTCCATTCATTTCCCTTAATTTAGCCTTCATATGTTTCTCTAATTTGTGGCTATAGTCCACCAGATCTGTGAGGAAGCTGACGACCAGTGTTTTAAATTGTGCGTCTGAGAGATTTGCTATTTCTTCGTCACTTAGATTTATCTCCGGGACTTTGAGGTCCCCCTGCGACATTTTTGGTCTGTTCTGGCCCTTTAAGTGAGAGAAGCGGCGCCTTGGAGTCCCAGGTCGCTGGGTTGTGACGCTGTATGTGGGGGCGTGGTCAGAGCGGGGGAAAATGGCGCCGCCGCCGGTCCCCTGCTCACTTCCTCACCCGCGCGTAACCGGGCACCCACAGTCAACTCGCTGCCACCGCCTCCCCACTGACTCCTCCGTAGTCACTCACCCGGTGGGCTGCTCACTAGGTCCAATCCTGGGTTTGGAGCCCGTGCGACTGGATTCCGCGCCCGCGCCCGGGTCGTTCAAGTTCTCCTTTGTAACTCCTCAACCCGCCGCCGGTTTCGCCTCTTACCGGCCGGGCCGGAGGATTTGCTGTTTGCGGACTTCCGAAAAGTCGCGCGTCTGGGTTCCGCGCCCGCGCCCGGGTCGAACGAGTTCTCCTTTGTAACTCCTCAACCCGCCGCCGCCGGTTTCGCCTCTTACCGGCCGGGCCGGAGAATTTGTTGTTTGCGGACTTCCGAAAAGTTCAGTTTTCCGTGTTCTGGTTGTGTTTTCTGATGCTAATATTTAGTTGTCCTTAAACTTGGTTGTGAGAGGAGGCAGGCACATCCACCTTAATCCTCCATCTTGGCGGAAGTCCTCTACTTGTTTTTAGAAGAGCCTTAAAGTAGTCTCCCATTCATTACTAGACTGTAAACAGTCCCCCGTGAAAATGTGTTTTCATGAGTGGTTTTCACACCGACAGGGCCCCTTCAGGCCAGAGGGTCTCCTGCCGCGGAGCCTGAATCCACGGAGAAGACCCAGGCAGTGTCGGTCAGGCAGTGGCAGGGGCCAGCTCGTGTCCCTCCCACACCTGCCAGGCCTGTGAACAGGCACGGTGAGCATGCAAACTGTGCTAGTGCTGGTGCCTGGTGGACCATCCAACTGAGAACTCAGCGGGACAGGCAGGCACCGGCACCGGTCATGGCATTTTCGCACAGGAGGAGCCAGCAGGGGCTGAGCAGGCAGGTCTGTGCAGGAACCAGGCTGGACACTGTCCTTTGCGGAGACAGCACCCGGGCCCTGGACCAGGAGGGCGGCCCCCGAGGCTTCGCTGATTCTTTAGGCCACAGGTGGCAAACACAAGGCCGCAGCCAGAATCCCACCCTCCACCTTGTTTCCACCTGGCGGCAGCGCCCAGCTCCTTGCCCCTAGGTAAGTAGTCACGTCGATACAGTCCGAACATTACATTTGGCCCTTTGAAAGCAACCGCGAGGCTGATGAGGCCCTCCGTGGAGATGAGTCTGACGCCCCTGCTCTAGACTCAGATCAGACGCCCACAGGGCTGCAGGCTCTGACAGTGTCCCTGACGGGCGGGCTCAGGCCCCGCAGACCTTACAGTTTCTTTGATTGACATCATTTCTTGGGGACTCTCCATGCCAAGTTGCTTCCCCCAAAGAAGGTGTTATTAGGTGGTGATGTCTGTCCTGCCGCCCCCCCTGGGACTGGGGAGCAGGCTGAGGCTGGGGGCAGAACGGCAGAGCCTGTGTCCGTGGTGGACGTTCAGGTTGCAGACTGCTCAACCAAGCCAGGTTTTAGAGATTTGCTTGTGGTCACACAGGAAGTCGCCACAGTCAGGGCCCAGCCTTCAGCCCCTTGGCCAAACTCTCTGCCATCTAAAATGTGTTTTCCTGTCATTTATTGGAAAAGCTTGACTCATTTCATGAGTCACCTTCTCAAAAGCAGCCGAACAGCCGGCTTCTTCTTGCCCCATTCAGGCAGCTGGAAAGTGAGATGGCAGCTGGCTGTCCCCGAAGCCCGCAGGGCCCGCTGGCCAGGCGCTGGAAGTTGCAGCACCGGGGCCCCTGACTGAATGGCCCCACGGTTTCTGACCCCACTGCACTTTCCCTGCTGCTGCTCCACCTCCGGGGCTGGGCGTGAGGCAGAGAAGGGCCTGCTGGGCGGGCTCTGTGTTTCTGTCCTGGGCAGCGAGCTGGGGCTGTTTTCAGGAGCGAGGTGCCCACGCACCAACCACCTCCACCCGCTCCAGGGCCCTCACTGAGCATTTAGAGAAGACAAAGGAGGTGAGAATCCTTTTCTTTCCACCTTCCACCAGTATAAAAGGCACCCCAAATCCTTCTGCGGCCTCTGCTGAGCCACGTCCCCTGCTGAGCCGTGTCCCCATTTCCCAGGGAGTAATTGTGACACTGCGTTCAGGTGGCGCTCAGCTGCAGCCAGAAGTGAAGAAAAGGCCCCTGGGGGGTAAGGGGGTGCTGCTGGCCACCCCCCAGGGTTGGGACTGCAGCCCTCACGAGGGAGGTGATGTGTGTGGTGTCAGAGGGTGAGGACCACGGTGGCCGCACTGGCCCAGAGCTCAGCCCTGGCGTCGGGTCCGACGTGTCCCCTTCGGGGGATGTGCTCTGTGAGGGCACCCCGGCCGATGCAAAGCCCTCGTGGACGACTTGCACATTTGTCGGCAGAGGGGACAGACGAGAGTAAGTCCTACTGAGGGACAGTTGCAGCTGTCACAAACGGGGCAGCCTGTGTACACACATCTGAGACCCACGCCACTGTCCTCAGTGAGACGGCACCACCAGGAACCGCGATCACAGCAGGACTGGATTCCGTGAGGAAGAGAAAGGACAGAGGGAGGGACGGAGGGAGAGGGGGGCACAGACCCAGGGGATCCCACTCCTAGTGTCTGCCTCCAGGGGGCGCCTCAGAGCCCGTCCCATCTGAGGTGTGAGAACCCCTCCGTAACTGAGAACGAAGCCCCGTAAAACCTGCCGTTCTAGCTGAGAAGGGGCGCGGCTGTTTCTACAGTAGCAGGAGGCACTGGCTTCAGCCCCCCCCCACCAGGCGTGTGCTCCTGTCCACTCCTCCCCGTGGACCCCACTGGCCCGGTGCTGACCACTGGGAGCCAGGACGGGGCTGGGTCCAGGCCTCTCCCACTTGCTCGCCTCTTTGCTCTTAGAAAAACCACCCGAGGCCGGTCCGTCTGCTCATGTCTGAGTTTATCCTCTCGACAATTTGAATCCCAGCCGTGGGCTCTGGTTCTCTTAAAATGAAGCATTTGGTAGAGCATGGAGCTGATTAGAAATAGGTTTTTTGTGGCACAAACCAAGTTAGGGGTTACCACAAGGTGTGCACACATGCAAACACGGGCACATGGGCATGCACACATGTACACGTGTTCGCCCACCCCCGGTCAGCAGGCTGCCGGGCTCTGTGGAGCTGGGTAGTCATATGCAAGTCCCACCCTGGGACAGAGGGAGCCCGTGGGCACCGCTGACCCACCCCTCTCAGGAGGGTGTCCTGTCAGGTGCCCAAGTGCCTGGGGAGGCGTGGCCGCCTCCAGGGAACATGGAGGTGCTGTGTGCCCACCCGTCTTAGCCATCCTTGACTGGCGTTGCCTCGGGTAGAAGGGGTTCTTTCGGGACGTGGCCGAGAAGCCTGGCTTCATCCTCAGCCTCAGACCCTGGGCCCTCGGAGTGACTGCCAACTCGGTGCACAGATACGAAACCAGATTTATTGACGTGCTCGCCCGCGGTCACGGCGTACACACCCACAACATTGTAAATGACACGCTGGCTCTGGTACCTGCGCCCGGTAATGACCGATAAACAGTTGCCTGCCAGCGCCCCGCACTCCTGACACCCAGACCTGCCTGCACGGCTGGCAGCCTGAGGGCCCACGGCCAGGACCACCGTCGGCCAGCACTGCGCAGGGGCGCCCAGTCCACTCTTACTTGTCACAGTAACTCTCCACTGAAGCAGAAACCACCCAAAGATTGTTTTCTTCAAGGAGAGAATAGGTTTGCCCCCACCAGATCAAACACCCTGTTTCCAGGGGTGCCCTGGTGACCGGAGGCTGTTGGGTGGATGGGCCTGAAGTGACTCTGAAGGTCCATTCCACAGTCGAGGGGCCCCCAGAAGGCCGGGACCCCTCGAGGGGTGACACACTGCTGCTGTGGCCTTTGAGGAAGGAGAGGGGCACCTCAGCCTGCAGGAACAATTTCAGGGGCGTCCCCTGCCAGCTTCCGTGTCCCGTAGACAAGCAGCAGCCCTGGTGAGACCCAGGGTAGGGGACAGGGATGGGAGCCATGCAGAAGGGGCGACCCTCTCCCTCCTGGGGGCCCAGCTGCCAGCCGAGGATAATAGACGTGGAGTTCAGAAACCCTTCCTTGCACAGCCGCTGGACCCGAGTCTGGGCCAGCACATCTCATTTCAGGGGTCACCTGGTCTCCCCCATTCTCTTTGAAAATGGGTCCATGTGCACAGCAACATGTAACAGACAAAATCACCTACACAAGGAATTTCACGATGATCAGAGTTTAGTCCCCGCCTGTCCTGCAGTAACCCAGGCCCTGGGTCGGGGCTGGCGAAGGCCCAGTCTCCCCAACTTGCGCTACGTCACTCTGGGGCCGGGTTCCATGGTGGCTGCGTCACTCTGGGGCCGGGCTGGCCGGCACTAGATGACCGAGGTCTCCGTCTGCAGGAAGGACAGTGTGCGGGAGCCGCGGGGGAAGTGCAGGGTGCTCTCCGAGCCGTTCCTGGAGATGGACAGGCTGTGCAGCCGGTCACCCCGGCCGGAGGGCCGGCTCGGGCCCAGGCTCGGCCACTTTCTTCTCAACTCGTTCTGCACCTGGGGGTCAGGAGGGGATGCTTGGGCCATGAACTGCAGGCAGAAAACACTCCTCTCTCCTGCCCTTCCTGCTCTCATCCCTCCATTGCATCCAGTCAGGCGGAAGGGAACGGGCTTGGGAAGAGGAAGGGCAGGCAGAGAGGGGTGTGGTGGTCAGGGCTGTCCCTGGTTGTCTGCACTGAGAGACCACAGATGCTGGCTGTGGGTCACACCCAACAGAAGCTGGGGCTCTGGGTGCAGGCAGGGGGGCCCCTCAGGACGTCCCCACGGCCCGCGCCTCTGTGCGTGGGCCCGAGGCGTGACGGGGCTTACCTCGCTGTTGAGGAAGCAGTAGAGCACCGCCACCACCAGGCCCTGCGGATGAGGAGGTGTGTCAGGGGCTCGGCACACACACTGGGAGGGGCAGGGTGGGGCAGGGCGGGGCGCGGCACCCCGCCACACCCACCTGGAAGGACCCCACACACAGCTCAAACAGGATCTGGTACTTGGAGGAGATGCCAATGGGAAACACGGCAAACACCATGTAGTGGACGCCAAACAGAGGGATGAGCAGCAGGGTGGACTTGGTCAGCCTCCTGGCAGAGAGAAGGGCCCTCAGTGGGTACGGCGGGGCAGCGGAGGCCTCTGGCTGGGGGGCACCCCACCATCAGCTCCTGTTTCCCCAGGCTGGAAGGAGACGGGTGACAGGGACCCGCCCCAGGTCGCAGAGCTCTCGGCCACTGGGATGTGGGCCCAGACTGTCTGAGCCCGTGGCTCCAAGCAGCTGGACCGGCCACTGCCCTCTACACTAGGGGCGGCTTCACACCGGAGCCCAGGGCTGTATTTTTCCTTCTACGCTCCTGATGGAAATTTACGGAACCATGCCCATCACCAAGCACGAGACCCGAGGGTGCAGGAAGAATGAGACGGAGACCCGAAGGAGGCAGCCGAGGCGGCGAGCCAGCCGGCACGCGGAGGCACCCTGTGGGCGGCACCGGGACCGTCGCCCCACCTGCCTCGGGCAGGACGCTGTGCACAGGCCCCCACGAGGCGCCCCTAAAAGCAGCTCCCAGGCCCTGTGCTAGGCACCGAACCCACGACTCTGGCTTCCGGAGCCCCTTCCTTCTGCTCCCCACACGCTGGCCTCGTCCCCCCAGCTCTCGGTTTCCAGCTGCGAGGGCGGCTTGGCCGGTGGACGGGACACTCACTTGTACTGTGACTGCTCGCTGCCACCGACGTCTGGGGACATGAGTTTCTGCAGCAGAATCCGCACAATGCTGACGAACAGGACAAAATTCACCTGCAGAAGAGACACACGTCTGCTCCGGACGCTCCCACCCCTCCTCACAGCGGGGGTGCGGCGTAGGAGGCTCGGCCCCAAGTCCACCCCTTCTAGCCAGGACGGGCCAGGCCCTGTGTTCACAAAGGGCCGGAGCCCTGCCCAGCCTGCCTCTGCCCCCCTCCCCCCATCCACCCCAAGTGGGGCTGGACATCGGCAGTCAGCCGCAGCACATGGTGTGGTCCCCACGCATGCAGGCAGGAGTTTGGAGAACAAAAAGGACAAACGGAAATCCTGCTAGGCCCTCAACCTGTCCTAACAGGTCAGCCTATTTGTGACCCCCCAGAGGCACGCCCCCCACTAGGGGGACACTGAAGCTCCGTCTCTGCTCTGTTCCATTGTCCTGTCGCTGGGACCTCCCCGGGGAGGAGGGACAGCATCCACTCTGCCCTCCTGTGAGGTTCTGCTCTCAGACTGAGGGGGATGGGCCTTGGCATTTAATGCGGATGACACCTGCTCTCCCCCAGGTGTGCACCCGACAGGCAACTCACGCTCCCGTGCCCCGTCACTTACTACAATGGAAAGTAAAATTGGTGCTCGAATCACCCACCAGGGGCCGCTGTGCTCATTGGTATCCCAGCAACTGCAGGAGAGAGACAGGAAACTCGGTCACCACCCACGTGTGGCAAGTGTGCTGCCCATGGGTTCCCCTCCCCCGCACCAACCGCCCCCAACACCACTTCCCTGGTCAGTCCCACGTGCCCCCCACTGCTCCGTGTGGCCACACAATGACGGTACAGCCAAGACACCCTGCTGCCATCCGTCCCTATCCAGAGATTTTTTTCTTTTGTCCTTCCCCACGTCAGTCTGCGAGCGGGAGGGAGGGGACCCCACAGTGTAACCCAGCAGCGAGGGGAGGAGGGGCAGGTGAAGGCCCAGGAAAATCCCGTAACTCATGGGTCTAACTCAGGGGCCGGTGCAACCCAGACTGTGCGAGGCAGAGGATCCGAATCGCTCCATCTTTGGGGGAAGGTCCCCCTTTAGAAGGCACTCACCCTGTGTCTTCTAAAGAGAGCCTGGCCACTGTCCACGCGCCCGTGCACACGGTGGGGATGCCTGTGGAGACACGACTGGTCACCCACAACCCCACGGGCATCCGCCTGCACCACCAAGGATGAGGGCCTTCTGACCAAAAGGTGACGCGGGGACTCTCCCCAAACACACACGAGGTCAGGCCCGCGCCTTGTTGAGCAGAGGCGGTGAGCCGGCACGTGTCCGAACATGGACCCTTCACGGGCCTGACCATGCACGGCCTGGCGCACGCTGTGCCTGGAGTGTGGAGGGGACGGTCCTGGACCCATGGGTGGGGTGGCCCTGGTTGTGGTGGGTGTCCCACAGCACGACCGCCCCTCCGGCCTGGCTAATGCCAGACTTTGCTAGCAGGCGCCCCTCCTCCCCGGCCTATTTCCTGACTTTCCCAGTCAGCCTTGCTCCAGCTGTGGGGCTCAGAGAGCAGTTTCAGCCCCGTCTCCGGTTCCCAGCAGTGTGAGTTGTCCTGGAAAAGCTCTTCCTGATGTGACCTGAAGGGCACCCCAGGGGCAGCCCAGTGCCTCCTGAGAGGACAGGAGTCAGGAAGTTGGGCGGCCAAAGGGGCGTGGGGCGCACGGGCACGCAGAGGGCGGCAGGGGCGGGGGGCGTCCTTACCCCACCCGATCAGGAGGTAGGCGGGAAAGCGGCAGCCGGGGGAGAAAATGGCCACCAGGAGGGTGTGCAGGTACAGCCCCTCCACCAGCAGCCAGTAGAAGTTGGCCATGATGCAGTACTGGAAGAACACCAGGCTCAGCTTGCAGCCCACCTGGAACGGCACAGGGTGAGGGGCTGCCATTGCTGCCCCGGACACAGGGCCACCTGTGTGCCTGAGGAGCCGGGACACCCTGCACGGTGGTGCTGACCACAGGTGTTGGGGAGAGTGCACTGGAGGGTGGGCGGCAGGGGTGCCCCGCAGCCCCCACGTGACTGTGACAGTGAGCCTCGGCACGCGCGGCTTCGGCTCCCGCCTGACCTCTGCGCTCCCCACCTCGTCCCCACCGTCCTGGTCCCCATACCCCAGGCACCCCCTTCTCTCTCCCTGTTCCTCCTCACTGTCCGCTCTTGGCAGGAGATAAAAAAGGGGAAAACAAGAGAAACCAGCAAATGAGCTGTTTTCCGAGTGTTGAGGGCCCCTCCCCTCCATGGAGGACGCTTCCCGGGAGACGGCCTTACCCAGGAGGACGGCCGGTCGGGGCAGTGCAGGGTGCCCGAGCTGGAGTACAGAACGTCGTCTTTGACCAGCACCGAGAGGGCTCGCAGGATGAAGGAGAGGAACAGGTTCAGGTGGATGTAGTTCCGGGTGCAGTGCAGCCGCCTGGGTGCAGGGGGCGGGGGGGGAGGGGCAGAAAAGCCAACAGCTGTTCTGTGAGTTTGAACAGTATAGAACTTCCTGAACAAATTCAGCAAGCCTGCTGAAGCAAGTTAATATACAGAAATGAACCCCTTCCTAGAAACAATTAGAAATGGAATTTGCTGTCATTCGGTTGGTTAGGGTATCATCCTGATGCCCCGGGGTTGCGGGTTTAAACCGAGGTCAGGGTGCATACAGGAAGCAACCAATGATGGATCAGCAAATGGAACAATAAACCGATGTTTCTCTCTCTCTAAACATCATTAAATAAAAAATCAAAGAGTAAAGGAGAAATGGAACTTAACAAAATACATAAAACAGCATAAATACCTGAAAAGATGCTCAACCTTCTACCCAAACCCACAAAGCACTGTTGAAAGAAATGAGAAAAAAAAAACAAACAAATAGGAGCATCTACTGTTATCACAGGTTTGAATGATTCAAAATGATCAAGATCCTGATCTGTGGATTCAATGCAATTCAAAATGACATCCTGCGGAATTTGTAAAATTTGTAAGAAGCGGCGACTAACAAGCCAGTTTTTAAGAATTCACGCATGAGTGTAAATGGCCGAACTCCTCCTGGTGAAGAAGAACATCGGCAGACACACACTGGGGGAGATCAAAGCTCATCTTTGTGGCAGACGAGGAGGCAAACAGAACCACAAGGCACGTAGTCCTGTGATGTCATCACAAAGATGTGGTCAAGGACGGTCTTTCCAGCAAATCGTCCCGGATCAACTGGGCACATGGGCTGAAGACAGATGGAACTTAATCCCCACTTCAGGCCACACACAAACGTAGACGGCAGCCCTGGCTGGGTGCCTCCGCAAGTTGGAGCATCATCCTGTACACCAAAAGGTTGCAGGTTCGATCCCCAGTCAGGAGGGAAATGCTATATGCTTCTCTCTCACACCGATGCCTCTCTCTCTCTCTCTCTCTCTCTAAAAATCAATAAACATATCTTTGGGTGAGGATTAAAAAAACTAAATGACAGATGGGTTACACACTTAAACAGGAAAAGCAAATGTAATAAAATATCTAGATGATAACAAGAATATGCCAAAAATTTCATTAACAGGTCTCAGGAAACACTGACCATAGAAAACACATGATAAATAACTTCATTAAAATCAACACTTTTCTTTTTTTAAATATATTTTTTATTTTATTGATTATGCCATTACATTTGTTTTATTCCCCCCTTCATTCCCCTCCCCCCTGCACACCCCTCCCCCACCATTCTCTCCCCTTTAGTTCATGAACACATGTCTCAAGTTCTTTAGATTCTATATTTCCCATACTATTCTTACCCTCCCCCCTATTTTCTATCTACCATCTATGCTACTTATTTTCTGTACCTTCTTCCCCCTTCTCCTTCTCCCACTCCCCTGTTGCTAATCCTCCACGTGATCTTCATTTCTATGGTTCATTCCTGATCTAGCTGTCCTCTTCATTTGCTTTTGTTTTAGATGTGGTTGTTGATAACTGTGAGTTTGCCATCCTTTCACTATTCATCTTTTTTATCTTCTTTTTCTTAGGTAAGTCCCTTTAACATTTCATATAGTAAGGGCTTGGTGATGATGAACTCCTTGAATTTGATCTTATCTGAGAAGCACTTTATCTGTCCTTCCATTCTAAATGAAAGTTTTGCTGGATAGAGTAATCTTGGTTGTAGGTCTTTGGTTTTCATGACTTGGAATATTTCTTTCCAGCCCCTTCTTGCCTGTAAGATCTCTTGAGAAATCCGCTGATAGTATGATGGGAACTCCTTTGTAGGTGACTGTCCCCTTAGCTCTTGCTGCTTCTAGGATTCTCTCCTTCATTTTAATCTTGGCTAATGTATGATGTGCCTTGGTGTGTTCCTTCTTGGGTCTAACTTCTTTGGGACTCTCTGAGCTTCCTGGATTTCCTGGAAGTCTATTTCCTTTGCCAGAATGGGGAAGTTCTCTTTTATTATTTGTTCAAATAAGTTTTCCACTTGTGGCTGTTCCTCTTCCCCTTCTGGTACTCCTATAATTCGGATGTTGGAGTGTTTAAAGATGTCCTGGAGGTTCCTAAGCCTCTCCTCATTTTTTTGAATTCTTGTTTCTTCATATTTTTCTGTTTGGTCATTTTTTCCTTCTTCTGGTCCACTCCCTTGATTTGAGTCCCAGTTTCCTTTCCATTACTATTGGTTTCCTGTGTATTTCCCTTCATTTCAATTAGTTTAGCCTTCATATGTTCCTCTAATTTGTGACTCAAATCCACCAGTTCTATGAGGATCCTGATCACCAGTGTTTTGAACTGTGCATCTGAAAGTTTGGCTATTTCTTCATCACTTAGATTTATTGGCTCTGGGGCTCTGAGTTGTTCTTGAGCCATGTTTTTATCTGTTTGTGCCTGTTACGTATGAGGAGAGGCGCCTTAGGTGTTCACCAGGGTGGGCCCACCCAGGTCGCTGTTTCGTGACGCTGTATGTGGGGACGGGGTCAGAGAGGGAGCAATGGCGGTCTTCTCTGCTCGCCCCCGAGCACAAATGTGCGAGTCCACTGCCCTGTGCCGGGGCCCGCGCGGTCTGTCTCAATACTGTCTCTTCACTGGTTTATCTGTGCACAAATGTGCGACCACAGACAGCCAGTCGCACTGCGCCGCACCTCTTCCCTGTGTCCGCCCGTAGCTACCCCACACCTGGGGCCCTGGCCCTCGACTGCCTGAGTGCCTCCGGGGTCGGGGACCTTTTTTGCCCGACCTGCTCCACTGCTGGCTTCGCCCTCTCACCAGTTTAGCTGAGCGGTTCCTTATTTTTGGACTCCGTATGGTTCGATTTTCTGTGGTTTGATTGCGTTTATCGTTGTTAAAACTTTGTTGTTTTTAGATTTGGTTGTGCGAGGAAGCAAAGTGTTTCCACCTACGCCTCCATCTTGGCGGAAGTCCGAATCAACACTTTTCTTGTTCAAAAGACCCATTAAAAGAGTATAAAGTCAACTCACAAGACTGGAGATAAAATTTCTAATACCTACATCTGACAAGATTCTGCTATGTGATTCCTAAATATGAATTAAAAAAAAAACAGGACAGAACAGAAAAGTCAGCAAATACTTGAAACAATACTTCAAAAAAAAAAAAAGATTTCCAAACATATGATCTCATTATCCACCAGAGGAAAGCAAATATGAAACCACATTCTATAGAAATATTATTATAGACCCAACTAGATGGCTAAATATTAAACTGACAATAAGTGGTGACAAGGATGTAGTGTGAACAGAAGTCCTACACACAGTGCTGTCACTTTGGAAAAGGAGTTGGTGTTATCTGGAAAAACTTGGCTTATGCATAATCTATGACCAGTAAATATAATGTAAATATAAGCATTGCTATAAATGTGTACACATATGAACACATACGTGCCTAAAGAAGTGTGTGCCTATGTGCAAGAGAGAATGCATAGGAATGCTCATAGCTTTGGGCAGCAGGTCCACACCAAAAGCCGCCACACACCCACGAGCAGTTGAAGAGATAAACACACTGAGTTCTCTTTGCAGCGCAGCGAGAGAACAGGATAAGCACATGCAACAGCATGGAGGGGCTTCCCTGCAAAACACCGAACCAGACCCCTGAGACTGGAGTTCCCTTTGTGAGATTCTGAGACAAAATCTGTCTGCAGTGACAACTCCGAATGGTGGCTGCCTCTTGGGGCAGCTGGATGGACACAGGGTGGCCACAAGGTCGGCTTCCTATGCAAGCAGGGTCCTATGTCCTGACCTGGGTGTTGGGAGACAGGCAGCAGGCTGCCCTGGGAAGCCTGGGCTGCCCCACCAAACATGTTTCAGTTCTGCCACTGAGCCTCAGCCCGTGAAGACATTAAATGTGCTGAGTTTTCCTCGCTGTCTGGACAGTAATTCTACAGCTGCTGTGACTCCTCCTCTGTGTTGCCAGCTGCTGTGGGACCCCCAGCTCCTGAGTTTGGGAGCTGCGCCTCCTGCAGAATCTGAGTCTTACAGCCCAGGCTGCTGCGTTTCCTGTGGCTTCTCAGCTGCGCTGCACTCATTTCTCCAAATCGCCTCTTCTTTCTCTTCTCCTTTCCTCCTGTCCCCTTCCTGCTCTCTCTTACCCGCTTCTTTCTGCTCAGTGGGCGTGGGGGTCGCTGCCAGCAGACACAAGTGCCCCAAGCTGCCCTGTGGTCTTCATTGCTCATCAATCATTTAAAAATTCGCCTCCCATACAGGTCTGTGAGCGGACACTGGATGCAACTCCAAGTGTGGCTTCCGGACGAGCTGGGCTGCCACCTGCGTTTCTGAGATGCTGAGAACGGACTTTGGAGGCCCACCCGCTCCCGAAGGCAGACGGGCTCTGCACTGGGAACGTGGGCCTCCTCCTCTAACCGGCAAAACTGGGCACCAGGAGCCCTCGCCTAGTGGGGACGCTGAGAGGGCTAAATTATAAACACCTGTGCAGTGCCTGACAGGACCTGCATGGGTGATGGCTGCAGTGACTCCTGCACCTGGAGGGTCAAAGTAGCCGTGCCAAGTGCCTGGACCATGGGAAGCAGCTGCCAGGACCACCCAGTGACGCCCAGGCCATGTGCTGGCTGACCAAGCCCACACCGCCCTCCAGGACTTGGATAATAAACTGCCCCCTTTCTCTGTGCCTAAAACAAGGACGTGGTCACTTACTGCCCGTGTGCCTTATGGGGCTGCGGTGGAGGACCGGTTCTGGGAGATTGCAAAGCACTCTCTTCCTGGGCATAGTCTCGGGGCAACGGGGCACGTCTTTCTATGACCCATCACCCGCACATTTGTCCGGGCAAGTGGCACCAGGTACACCCAACAGGTGGGGGCTGGCGAGGACAGCATCTGTGGGGCCGAGGCAGAGCGCCGGCTCTGGGAGCCGCTCGTAGCAGCCGTGACCCGCGGAATCGGCCACAGAATGAAGGACCTGCAAGGCAGCGTGTTCTTTCTAACTAAGACTCCCGCCAGCAGGTGGCTCACAGCGCCCACACACAGGGGGCTGTGTTTCGTTCTCACGGAACCGTTTGAGGCTCTCGTAGAGGGTCACGTCTGTATTGTCAATAAATCCAAAATGCTACCAGGCTGGCTCGTTAAATCTGTCACACCAGACAAATCCCGGGAAACCGCCCATGACAAGAACACAGGTTGTTCAGTTCTTTCTTTGAAGAGGAAATATTTGTAGTTCACGTTGCCCAAGGCCAGCTTACCTGCCTGAACTTTTCCTTTCTTTCTCATCTTGAAAAACCCGAAGACTTAAAAATCCGGAGTAAAGCACAGAAGATAGTACAGCAAATACTAATTTTGTATCAGTGCTTTTTTTAAAAGAACTAGAATGTGATAGATGTTGCCCATGGTTTTTAAAGGACCTTCTGGGTTGAAGGAACTGACTTATTCTTTCTGAGACTCAGCAGCCACCAGACAGCCACAGGTGAGCTGCCTAAAAAAAAGCACGAGTAAAATTTAATCCCATCCGCTGGGTTTCTCAGCTATGTTTCTCATTAGTCTTTGCTCATTTTCTTTCCCTTCAAGTATGGATCTGCTTAGGGGTTTATTTGTCAGGTTCCAAAGACCTTCCGTCTGTTTTGCTGCTCATGTCGTCCCAACATCAGGCAGCATCTGAGCTATATCTTAGCAAAGAGAAATAAGACACATGGTGGTCAAAACCCTGTTAAAATTGGCCACATAGCACGCATTCCACTCCGTGCTAGTGAGGCTGAAGACACGGGTTTAATCCTGAGTACTTCCCAGCGTGTCCTAGACCGAGGCATCTGTTTGGGGACTGAGGCCCCTCCCCTAACCCTGACAAATGACCTATGTCCTCAGTTACCAGAGAAGGTGGCTAACAGTCGGGGGGGGGGTGATGAACGTCGCTGCCACAGGAAACAGGCAAAACGTAGACAGTTCACCTCACGCCCTGGGGGTTCCGCTGGCAGATGCACAGAGAGGCTAAGTCCGTTGTCCAAGGGCACACAGCTACCACCAGGCTGACCCACGGCCTGAACCTGGGCAGTCGGACTCCCTCCTCCTACCCTTGAGCACAACACAGTGTCTCTCAGCAGGGTGCCAAAGTGTCAGACACTCGTGTTGCCTCTGTATTTTCACCGTGTTTGCGTAACAGCTGCATTTGTAAGAACAGCTGGACCAAATTCCTCTCCAAGGTCAGTACTCTCTCTTCACACAAGGAGTGCAGAATGTCGGAATAAACACGGTGGCAGCCCCCTGGGCGCTGCGCCGGCTCCGTGCAGCACGGGCTCCGGCCGAGACTGTCTCTCCTCCTCTGATGGGCTCCTGGGTGGTGAGCGGACCACAGTTTTCCGCCCCAAATTACCGGGCAGAATTGCTCGTTTGCGCCACTTACCTGAAGAGGCAAAGAATTATGCTTCCGGTTGTCAGGGAGACCAGGGAGACGCTGTAGCCCAGGGTGTAAATGGCCTTCACCAGGACGTAGAACGTGACCTGCAGAGAAAGACTCTGAGCCGTCGGTGGCCAGCTGGGGACCCAGGGCTGCTGCCCAGGCCCAAGGCTGCCACTCCCTTCAGGAACGGCTCTGGGCTGCTGGCCACCTGGAAACCCTGGACAGGCCCTTGCACCGTTCAATGCTGATTTCCTCTCAAACCAGGACCCTTTTCCCTCAGAGTCACTGTGCGTGACTGTGAATGGTTTCCATAAGGCTGGTCTGTGTCAGGGGGAGGGGACCTGCCACCATCAGGGACCCTGGCGGCTCCCCAGGGGAATCTCACGCCCGCACTGGGACCAGCAACCAACCCCGTGTCCCCCTTTCCACCCTTTCCACATCTCTTTCACCAAGAAAACGCTCGGCTCCATGTGGACGGTTCAAACCTCAGGAATGTACAAGCACTCAGATGACCCCAGGACCCTGAAGACGCCACAATTACCACCAAAGAAAGAGGAGACCCAGCAGTTGCAGGAGGGGCTGAGGCCCTGGCTGGCGTGGCTCAGTGGGTTGAGTGCTGGCCTATGAACCAAAAGGTCGGCAGTTCAGTTCCCAGTCAGGGCACATGCCTGGGTTCTGGGCCAGACTGTTATGGGCCAGGTCTCCATAGGGGGCGTGTGAGAGGCAACCATATACTGATGTTTCTCTCCCTCTCTTTCTCCCTCCCTCCCTCTCTAAAAGTAAATAAATAAAGTCTTTTTTTAAAAAAGAAGGAGTCAAGGGACACAGCTAAACCCCACGATCTTCCCCACACTCTCCTCCAACAGCAGTGACCCCGATTTCCAGTGAGAAATGAAGGAGGTTCCTGTGGGAAGCAAGGGCCCTGTGTGTGTGCACATGTGTGCACATGTGTGTGTACATGTGTATGCGTGTGCATTCTCTTCTCTAATTCCTGGGGTCACTGGAGAGCTTGGGGTGAAGAAAGGGCTGGGATACCTGCCCCGGGGCGACTTCCTTCCAGGTCCGACAAGTCGGGGGGTCTGGGAGGGTGCGCCCTCTTTTTGGCTCTGAGGCCGCAGCGCTCCCAGCTTTGTTTCCAGAAGAAAGCCGATGGCCGGTGAGGGTTTGGAAGCTGTCCTCAGAGGCTGTGGTGGTAGGTCTGTGTCCACTTTCCGTTTTCTTTTCTGAGTGAGGGCCCGCTCCCTACCGCCTCGCCTTGTGGGAGAGCTCAGTTGGACATGAAAAATCCCAATCCTTTTAAAAGCACAGAAATGGAACACAAGCAGCAGACGTGCTGACGGACACCGACACCGCAGCAAACGGCGAGGCGGGGCGGTGGGGAGTTGGGGGCGCCTGGGTCTCCACCCCCGCCTCCTGCCCTTCCTGCTGCGTGGCTGTGTTCAGTCGCACACGCTGCTGCGACCTTTGTCCACAGGTGGCCCTCATGTCACCAGTGTCACCTCCATGTCTTCACACCTGTCATCCTAGGTGCCGTGGTCGTCAAACCCGGACAGAGTGGGGAGGGCGGGTGTGAGGGTCCCGACCTGCAGGCGGGGGAGGGAGCCTCCAGGAGCACGGGGCCGGCTTTCGGGCCCTTCTCCGGTGGAACAGAGACGACAGCGATGCCGCACTCTTCTTCTGGGCCCCTGACTGGACTGTTGAAGCCCTGCGGTTTCTCCAAGTCCGGGGAGTGTGTCAGATGAAGAGAAAAAACGTGTGAAAAACCGGGAGCAGGTGTGCACGCAGGAGCCCCCACGCACGGGCCAGCGCCTCCTTCCCCGGCGTGGCCGCTGGCTGCTGTTTGCGTGCCCAGGACCCTGTTGGCCTGTGAGTCGAGTCTGGTTCTTCCTCGTCCACCAGGTTTCCCCAAGACGCATGGCTGCTCTCTGCAGATGCCCGCAGCCACCGTGGGAGCGGGAAGGCAGGGCGGCAGCTCTGCTCCTGGGCGACACGCTACCGTTCCAAGGACACAGCTCCCAGGTTCCGGAAGCCCGGTCATCGTGAAACAAGGAGAAACCTACAAACCCAGCCAGGCAGGCGGCGCGGCCCAGAGGCTCCTCGCACGGCTGCACCTGCCCCGTTTCCCCTCGAGAGCAGGTGCAACGCGCTCTCCTTTCCGAAACCCTGACCCGACCCACAGCACCAGTTCTGGAGGCAAACGCAGCCCTGGAGCAAAGCAGCTGCCCGAGCAGAGCAAGACCCGGGGCCTGATGTGGACCTGGGACAAGAACCGAGGAGGGAAGAGCCGGGCCCCTGGGGCACCGAGGGCTGTGACGAGGAGGACGAGGGTGAAGATGGCCACCACGGTGCGCGGGGATCCAGGCGGCAGCTCCTCCTGCCCTTCGACGCAGAGACGCCGCCCTCGGACCTGGTTTCCAAACCAGACCTGGTTCCAAAACCGAATCAGATTGGCAACTGTCAGAGAGCATCGCGGATCCCAGGGCGCTGAGTGCTCCTCGGAGACAGGCCCTCGCCATCTTCGGAGCTCCATCCGAAGGGGAGCGTTCCAAAGGGCCCTGTGGGGGCCGACCAGCCAAGTCTCGGCCAACATGGAGCAGAATCCTGAGGGTGAGTGGTCTCTGCTGTCGGTGGAGGGGGTGCATGCAGACGTGAGGGGTGGCAGGAAAGAGTTACGGCCGGGCCTGAAAGCCGGGAGGTGAGGGCAGACGTATTTTTAGGGATATGGCATAATATGGAAGAAATGTGTCCACTTGATGCATGGAACGGCTAAAATGCCAAACAGTTCTCTCAGCTAAATATAGCAGCGTGTTCTTTATTTAAGAGCGATGTCAGCTAATGCATAACACAGAAGGCATCCCTCGGAGGTGCCCGCGTGTCCTGGGGCTGCTGTCTGTCTGTCCTTCAGCGAGATGGCCCGGCAGCAGCCGGGGCAGAATCACACGTGGGGCCGAGAGGTGGCCGGGAGGGCGAGTTCAGCCTTGGTCCTTCTAGATTCCTCTGGGAGGTTCCAGACACTCAGGAGGAAGGGTGCACCCTGAGGCCCACAGAGACTGTGCTGGTGCTCGGTCTCTAGTCGTTCCCGTTGGCAGCGGCTCTCAGCACCCCTGGGACCAGGGACGCCGGGCTGAAGGTGGGAACCCAGGCAGGGATGCGGCCTGTGGTGCAGGGGGAGGGGCAGGAAACTGGGGCAGGAGGGCTCGGGGCCTGAGGGCGGGCGAGCAGGCTGGTGACCCCAGGCGGAGGGACCTGGGCTGAGAACGCAGTCCTGGACGACCTCAACTCTCATGATGGGGTGGGGGGCTCCCCGAGAGGGTCTCCTGGTCCCTCCCATCCTGCTTCCCCGCAGTGTCCAGCAGGGGACGAGGAACAGGGGAGAAGAACTGTGGGGTGACGGTTGGTTTGGTGGGAGGGGACGCAGAGGAGGGACACCTGGCCTGTGGAAGGCGGGACGCCGGGGTGGGCGCTTCCGGGACAGGCCTGCGGCTTCAGGGTTTCCCTGCACCGCCAGGTACGGTGCAGGGCACACCGAGTCCTGCCGTTTCCCGGACCTCCTGGGGTCCACACTGAGAGGTGGCCCCACCCGAGCCCCTTTTCCTTCGAGGAGCTTTTCCTCCTGACTTCATTGGGTCTACGGAGCCCTTCTCCGTATGTAGCCCACCCTGCAGCTTGTGTGGAGGCTATTTTATTTCCCCTGGACTGTAATTGGTTTAGAAACCAGCAAAGATCTCACACACACACACACACACACACACACACACACACACAGCACCTGGGGCAGAGCTTGGCTGCATGGGAGCCGGAAACCCCATGAAAGTCACGGGCCTGGGAAGACAGTGAGCAGGTGACGAGGTGAGGACTCGCATCGGGGGCGTGAGTCCACAAGGGGCAGGAGAACCTGTCCCCTCACCGGCCCCGGCCTGCCCTCTGCTGCTGGGGGACTCGGTTGGCGCCTGTCCTGCCTGGGACCGTCCTGGCCCCTGGGCACATCCACGCCTCTTGGTTTTCATCTTTGGAAGATTTCCCTAAACGGCCGAGTATCCAAAGTACTCATGGGAGCCGCAATCAGGAAGGACAATAAATCATTTTGGTTTTGCGCCGTCATCCTCTTCACTTTCGAGCAGGGCCCTTGCATTCATGACATTTGCAGAATGGACGAAAGTTTAATTCCTAAGAAAAATAGCTGTTGGGCCTGGGTGGAGAAGCATCGGAATGCACAGCTGCTCGGCACTTCATGCAGGCGGAACCCGGTGACCCCAGCGGTTTTCCAGACAGCGTTGCCGGGATGCCACCCATGGCGTGACCCAGGGGACGGAGGACAAAGCTGACGTGGCTTCGAATGGCAGCCAGCTCCCGATGCCCCACATCCAACGTGCCTTCGGACCTCATCGGGCTCTTATCCCCGACAGCAGAATCAGAACTCAGGGGGAAGAACGAGAGAGAAGCAGCCCACCCTCCATGGGGACCTGCTGAGCAGGGAGGCCTCGGACACTCTGTGCCTCAGGCCACACATCTGTCCGGAAGCCCCGGTGGTGTGACCACTGGGCTGATGCAGACACGCCTGCCAGGCGGGACAGGGGAGTCGAAGGCCGTGAACCGGCTGCTGCCCGGGCTTTCCGCCCACGGCAAGGCCATGTGGGACTCACGCCGTGGCTGCAGTGGGGCCGGCCAGGCCTCGCTGGAAGGCCCGGGGAAGACCAGGGGCCTTGGCGCCACCGCGGCAAAGGACTCTCCCTGAGCAATGGGCAAACCGCCGTGGATCACACCCCAACAGGTGGGTCTCATCGCAGCTGGATGCACGGCCGAGACGAGGATGCAGTGATGACTGGGAGGACAGCAGATGGTGAGGGGGAGGCCGAGGGGAGGAAGAGGAGGGTGATTCCCTGCACTGAGCCCTGAGGGCCCTTTTGCTTCAGTGGGCCCCGAGTCTGATCTCTGGTTGGGGGGCCTGGTCGAGGGCAGGGGCCCCTCCTCATGTGTTTGGGGTGAGCGGGGTGGCTTTCAGCAGCACAAACCCCCTTGTTGGTCCCTGACCCCCCGAGGGGCACTTCTGCTGGCTGAAGGGTCTACAGGTGCCACCCAGGGACTGAGAGGAGCATGACACACATGTGACATAGGAACACTCACTTCGGTGGTCGTGCAAAACGAAGAAAGTAAAGGAGCCGGGTTGCAACAGCCCCAGGTAAGACGTGTCCTGACCTCCCAGCTTGGCCACCCAGTCTCCCAGTCCACAGGGGGCCCCCGTGGCGTCACACAGAAGCACCGTGTCTCCCCTGCCCCCCAGGCTATGGGGGGACATGAGCCAGCCCAGAGGAGGACAGTGACTTGGTTTTCCAGGGACAAAGCAGAATAAAGCCACACTGGCCCTCGGCCAGTGCGAGGGCTGAGAAGGGCAGAGGGCAGGCCCGGGGTGGAGCCAAGCCCATGGTTCCCTGAATGTCCCCGGAGACAGGACTCACCTTGCTCACCCCTCCTCATCTCCTGGTACCATGCGGGGGTACACGGTGCCCCACTGTGGGGATACCCCCAGCAAGGCCCGGCCTGGGACACGAGGAACAGGTCACCTGCAGCCAGCTGGCCCCACACCCGCGATGGGACAGACTCCGCCTCCCAGTTTGCAGAGACTCTGTGGCGCTGGGGCTGGCACCGCCACTGGCTCAGGGCCAAGGAAACATCCCTGCAGCTTCTCTCAAGCCAGCCCATACCCCGAGAACGTTGATGGGGGTGGAGAGGCCCCAGGGGCAGAAAGGAGGCTCCCGGGGACTGGTTTCAGGCGGAGGGGGGTGGTTCTGGACACTGGCTGCAGGTGAGGAGAACCGGCCTCTCCTGCCCCCCAAATCCCAGGCCAGCAGGTAACGAACGCCCTGTCCTCAGGAGGCAACAAACCCTGATGACTCTACTCCGTGTGGCCGACCAGCCACAGGGCTGCCACTGCGGGCAGGCAGGGCTGTCCCCATCAGGTGGGCTTCCAAGGACTGAGAACCCACCGGGGAGGCAGGATCCTGGGGGCCTTACCTTGCCCTCGTCCTCAGGGTCACCATAGCCACACGCGTCCATGAAATCCGGGAACATCTCCGACCAGCCGTCGCCTGTGCAGTTCTTGCTTATGTTTCCTGGAAGATTGATTCTGACGTTGGCACGTGCGGGCCCCGGGGACAGAACAGAGCCCATCCTTCCTGTGTCTCTCTCTCCCCACCCCGATCTCAACCGCAAGGACTTGGAAGTCCCCGTCACACCTGCCCGGGGCAGCGGTCAGTCCCACCCCCCCTATACACCAGGCATGTCTGCTTTTCGGTTCTTACAGACGGATCTCTTCACGCTGCCAGAGTCTGGACTGTTTACAACAAAGCAAAACAAAACCACCTTCTGGGGAACCAGCTCAGAGACTCTGCAGGGAGTGAACCTCAACCCCCATCAGCGGGCCTCAGTTTCTGGAAACTCAGTGAGACAGTGGGGCCCACGTCCCAGGAGCCTGCTCGGAACGTGGGGCTGAGGAGGGCTAGGGGGTCGGCCTTGGCCCTGGCCCTGGCCACAGGCCCCTGTGGCGGTCCCTCTCTGGGGCCTAGGAGACTGTGTGTTCACTCCACGCTGGGCCCGCGGCCCCTCATCTGCACAGCCCCCCACACCCACCTTGATGCTCAGGTCCCTGTGTGCACATCTGGCTCACACACAGGCTCTCGCTCACTCATCAGCCTCCCCTGAGGCCTGCTCTGCCCTGCAGCCGGCTCGAGGTGGGTGACCAAGCGGGACGCTTTTGGTCCTCTGCTCCCCAAAACCAGGCCAACACACGGCTGCTCCCTGACCTGCGCAGTGAAGGGAAGGGACACCCTCCGTGGGGAAGCCACCACACCCCATCCCCTGGACGCAGACCCGCCAGAGGAGCTCAGAGAGACACAGCCAAGCACCTGGTCTGCTGTGAGGGCTGCTGAACACCGCGGGGCAGGGCACCGTCACCGTCTCGCCGATGTCCGCTGGGCGCCAGCAGGTGAGGTTGTCCCAGACGCCGCTGCAGGCTGCAGGGGGACAGAAGGAGGAAGAAGGACCCCGGCGTAGGGTCTGCGTGAGTGCTTCGCAAACAGAAACCCTGTTCGTTAGAAAATTATCTTGCAAGTGATTTTTTTGTGAGATAATGTGCACCAACAACATTGCTGAGAATACACGTAGCTACGTGTGTATTTGTATCGGCTTTAGAAAGTCACCGGGCCTGTGGGGGGAAGTTCCAGAGTGAGCCAGAGGGCACGTCACACTTCTCGGTGGTAAAAGAATCATGAGAGCCCTGGCTGGTGTAGCTCAGTGGATTGAGCACAGGTCTGCAAACCAGGGGATCGCAGTTCGATTCCCAGTCAGGGCATATTCCTGGGTTGCAGACCAGTTCCCTGCAGGCCAGTTCCCCGCAGGGGATGCACGAAAGGCAACCATACATTGATGTTTCTCTCCCTCTCTCCTTCCCATCTAAAGATAAATAAGTAAATAAAACCAAAAAAAAAAAAAAAAAGAATCATGAGAACTGTCCTGCTGGTGTGAGAACACTGCACCTCCATGTCTGAATTTTGGGGGCTTCGGACCCCCAGGACCCCCATTTATGGCACTAAGGTGTCAGACCAGAGACAGCTGGCAGCACCCCTCCCTCCACATTTAAGAGCAAAGAGCACCAGCAACTCCCCATTCAAAACCTGGCATTTAACCCTGGCTGGTGTGGCTCAGTGGATTGAGCTCCAGCCTGTGAACCGAAGGGTCACCGGTTGGATTCCCAGCCAGGGCACAGGTCTGGGTTGCAGGCCAGGTGTCCCCAGTGGTGGGATGCATGAAAGGCATCCACACATTGATGTTTCTCTCCCTCCCTTACCATTTATTTATTTTTTAAAATGGTGAGAATCAACTATTAAATGGTTGTTCACATGGTGCCGCAGCCCACAGGCTCCCTGCCAACTGCCAAGGGAAAGAAGGAACCTCCTAGTTCTGGAGGCCTCATTGGACTGGAACAGCAGGAGGGGACAGTGTGGGATGTAACAGGCCGCCACCAGCGCTGCGTGTGGTGGGAACAGACAGTGAGGACTCATCCTTCTTCAGAAGATTCCATCCAAACCGCAGAGAGGCATCCCCGGAGTCCTTGGGAGGGACGTGTGAGCTGGCCACGGAGGCCACACGCAAAGGGCACGGAGGAGAGGGGGCCAGCTCAGAGGCCCGGAGCCTCCACAGTTGTCCCTCCCTTCTGCCTCACGAGCTCCAGCAATGGTGCTCTGCATCCTTGTGGGAAACGCCGAACCACGCAGAAACTGGAACAGCAGCCCCACAGAGACAGCATCCTGAGTCCCTCCCACCGAGACGACACTGGAGGGGACCGAGCCGAGTGGGGAGACGCCCACCGTCCTCTGAGCTCCAAAGGTCTCATCTACATCGAAGCCCTTGACTCGTTTCCGACTTCCAGCCCCCAAGTCCGTCACCAACACGAAGGACCCAAAGCCAAATGCAATGACTCACCCATGGAGCTGGAAGAAATCCCTTTCAAAAATGGCTTTGTCTTGCTCTGTGAGCCCGGCCATTTGCTGGAGGCTGAATCACAGCCAGGCAGGCGCCCCCTGTGGCTTCGGAGTGGGTCTGAGGGCCGCGCTGCAGGCCGGCCCCCTGAGGAGGGGGCTGCCTCTGCCGCCCTGTCCTCTTCTGCAGGTGCTCACAGCAGGTGAGCGCACAGGGCTGACCGAAAGTGCCCCAGGGGTGGGGGGCCGGAACCCTCTGGGAACAGCCTCCCTCCCTGTAGATGCCCCAGGCCAGTGCGCACCCAGGCATCCAAACACTATGTCAACTACTGCCCGCCCTCTGACTTCTCCCTGCCCAGGAGCCCAGGGTGCCCCGAGCGGCTCTCTCACCTCAGGGCCTCAGGTCCCCATAAAGTTCATCCTGTGGCCTGCAGCCCAGACCAGGCTACTCATGGTTTCCCCTCAGCCCCTGCTCTGCTGAGGGCCCACTGGCATGTTCGACTCCCTGCCCAGGGACCCCCCTGCACAGGCCCCGCTCCTGCACCCCGAGCCTGTCAGTCCCAGGAAGGACCCAGAGTCCCGTTTCCCAAGCTCAGGGAGCAGGGGCTGAGATGGAGAGTCTGCCTGGGCGGCTGCCAGCAGCGGTGCCGAGGTCACACAGCGGCTCCAGCAGCTGGTTGGTCCCAGGCTCTGCACCAGCCTTCCCTGTACACGAGTCTCCGCAGAAGTGACCGCGCCACACTGGGGCTAAGGGGACAGGAGCAGGCCAGTGTGAGCCCTGGGCACAGTGGGCTCCGTGACTGTCAACTGCGCACTCCCTGTGGGCGGACGTCCTCTCCGGCATCTCTGCAGCCTGTGCCGGTGGCCGGTCACAGATGCCCAGGGACTCTCGGTCTCACTGAACCCCAGCAGATCTGCAGCTTGCAGCGGGGACCAAATTCCTCCACAGGCTCCTGCTTTCTGTTGTTCGAAGGGTGCACTTTGCACCACTGTCCTTAAATATTGGCCAGAGAGACATAAGGGAAGTGCATCCTTGCACGCTCAGCTGGGCACAGCTGGTGCCACTTAGGAGAGGCTGCGGTCAGTGACGGAGACCCGTCCTGGCAGACCTAAATGCAGAGCAGCGTGCTGAGGGGAGACTCGGAGCACTGCGGTGGGCAGCTGACAGTCTTAGGGCACAGTTCAGGGTGTGACAGTGACCTAAGTGCCCCTGGGGACAGAAAGGAGAGAAGACGGGGTCCAACCAATAAGCTGCATTCTCCTGATGTCACGTAGCCCATGAAGGAGCTGCCGCCGCATCCACCTGACATCTGCAGTGACAGGGATTCAGGTCTCCACATACGTTGTCACGCGTCCATGGCACCTGGGCCAACCACGAGAGCCTGGAGCCCCAACGCGAGGCTCGCAGCTCCCACGGGGCCTCGGCATGGGGACGGTGCGCAGGCAAGAGCGCAGGCAAAAGCGCAGGTGGAGCCTTCAGCCCCCAGAGAAGCAGCTGCACCAGCCTGGCCATGAACCCTGGACGCCTGTAGTTGACACCTAGATGTCACACAGGTGGAAACCTGGCCCCACAGCACAGCCAGCGCTCCAAACGCGTTCAGGTCCTGCTTCACAGGGCACGGGCTGTGCAGACGACCCTGGTCACCCCAGTACCCTGCCTAACTAGGGGCTGCGAGAGCCCCGCCCTCACTCACCCAGACATGAACTGCAAGGTACGGCCGAGATACTGTTTGCTGGGACTCGGCCGCTGGACAGTGCTTTCGAACTGGATGTAGCAAGGTTTTATTTTGGGGGTGACGGTTCAGGCAGGTTTCAGAGGTGGGGAGCAGATGCTCGAACTTGAACTAACACGAAACCAACACTCGAAACCCAGAACTGACCAAAGCTGTTCCCTGAACAAAAGGATTTTTTGTGGGAGCTTACAGAAACCCCAACCGCTCCTATACGTTTGGAAAACATGCTGAATGCAATGAACCCCGAACATTGCAACAAGCACGGCACCCGTGGCGGGGATCCCGGGGGGATGGTGCCGAGGACCGGCAGACGCCGCGAAGGCAGGGGAGCATGTTCATGCCGCTCCCGCCTCCAGCAGCCAACACAGGTGCCCTCGGGAACCCGTGTGCGGTCCATGTGAGGTCCTGTGCACGGCTGGAACCGGCCTCCATGCAAGAAAACTGAGGACACGCCTGCACTGCCATGTTTGCTGTTGTTGACCTTTCATAAACAGTCACTGCTTCCGCCCTGGCCGGGTGGCTCCGTGGGTTCAAGCACCGTCCGTGCCCAAAAGGTTGTGGGTTTGATTCCCGGTGGACATTTCTCTCTCTCTCCCTTCACCTCTAAAATCAATCAACAAGTTCTCGGGCAAGGATTTAAAAAAAACAGTCACTGTTTCCTAATAACACATTAAAGACCCCCTAGGCCTTCCCTGCAGCATCTGCTGACCTGGGACCTCTTGGTGCCAAACGACCATTGGCAGCGGCACTGAGAAGGCCCCGAGGTGGGGACTCGGAGCCCGAAGGACCCTCCGTGTTCTTCCAGGAAAACGTCCTGCGGATTTATGCTCAGGACTTGGGCGACTTCCCAGGATTGGCCCAGCACATCCGTCCACCAGCGTAGTGACGGCCGTGACACACCACCCTCCCACACCGTGGCCGGGTGACCCCCACCTGTCAGGACAGCCCCATGTGGAGACACCCGGCCCTGTCCGCCCCCCCGACAAGGAACCATCAGAGTGCCCAACACCCGAGCCTCATGGGCACTGACCTCCCACAGCCACAACCCCCTGCCTGGTGACGCCCCACCCTGGGCCCTGTTGTCCCCTCCTCCTTGAGCTCCGGGAGAGCACCCACTGACCCCAGGGGACCCGCTCTGTCATCATCGCCAGCCCCGGGGATCTGCCCCACCCACTGGGGAAGGGGCTCAGGGGCAGCAAGGCCACATGCTGGGGACGTTGTTCGTGGAGCCGTGTTGGCAGGTGTCGGTGGCCCAGAGGTGTGACGTGAGTCCCGGCCGGTGCAGCGAGTCTCGGCAAAGAATCGACATCAGGTCACAAAGCCGTAGATTTTCTCACAAACTGAATCCTCTTCAGAAATGGAAGGGGTGTTTGTCTGGATGTTTGTGTTAGTTCTGTGTTTGTGTTTGTCTTCGACTCCTCGTCAGACACGCGAATCGCCCAACTAGAATTGAAAATCCTTGGTTTCTCGCATCGGAAGCCCTTTCACACCAATTTCTTAGTCCTGCAGATTTACCGTCAGCTACAGAGACCTCAGTGCCTCATCTCACTTTTAACGCTGGGAAGCAAAAGTCTGGGGTGGACAGTGGGACCCCCGTCCATCCAGCGAGACACTCGCACAACCAGACGAGGCTGCCCGCCCTCGTCTGCGGCACCGTTGTCCTGACGACTGGGCACTGCTGCCCGCCCGGCACCTGAGCCTCGCAAACTGGAAGCAGTAGGAGGAGGAGCCGGAGCTCAGCACACAGGCGAGTCTCTGCACCTCCGGCACATGGCTGCTTGCGTCCAGCTCTTCCTGCCAGTGGAAAGGCAAGGCAAGGCCACCACATGCGTTTTTGCTCCAGAGGCGATAGTGACTGTGGGAGCCTTCATACTGGAAAACACCCGAGGACCGAAACTGTCCCTGCAGGAAACTGAGGGACACGATTCTCCGCACTCAGAGTGGGGGATGCCACTCCACGACCTTGACCTACAGCTGCCGTGTCCTCCTTTCTGCTCAAGGTGAGCCTTTGACTCACGGTCTCGGCCCTGGGCGCTGCCACCCACACATCTGATGTGGGCACACACAGCACCACTGAGGAGGCCTGGAGCCAGGCGGGTGGGGCCCAGCAGGGATGGAAGGGTGCCGGCCGCAGACGGCCACGGGCCCGCACCCAAGCCAAATCCACCTGCTGCCTGCAGGGCTCTCGAAGTGCCACCAGCAAACGTTCCGGAGATCAGGACATTGTACATAAAGTTTGCTTTTCCAATGTTCTCTGAAAATGGACAGCTGGGCAGTTCAGCGCCTGTATTTCCTCAGAGTGAGAAGTGGGGGCCGTGAGGAGCAGCGGCCCTGCCCCACAGCCACACCCCAACTTTCAGGGGCTGTTGGCACCCCCCACCGCCCCCCATGTCCTCACCACCTGTGGACTCAGATCCGCGGTGCCGAGATGGCGTGACGGGCGATCCCGTGCCAGGAGTCTCCACCCGGGACCTGGGGTCCCGCCACTCACTAGCCGATTCTCAGGCTTTACGTGGTCTCCTCCCAGCCTCCCCCTTTCCGAACCTCCCCCTTTCCCATTTTCACAGGAGGAAAGGGGTCCTCAAGGCCATGATGGCTGTTTTCTTGGGACCCACCTGTCACCCACCCAGCTGCTGACCAACAGGCAGCACGTGGCTTTGCGCAGGACACATACTTGGATCCTGCTGCCGCAAGGCTGAGCTACTTCATCCAAGCAGACCACGAGCCAGACATGGCGCCAGAACTTCGTGGGCTGCAGAGTCTCAGCCCTTCGCAGCCGGGAGGGGCCCTGGGCCCAAGGCCTGGCTGTCAGTGGAGAAGGTGGACAGGCAAAACACTCAGTGCAGAGCGGCGCTGTCCAGTGCAGGAGCCATGTGGCAGGGCCGACCAAGATGCACTGGGTTTCTATGATTTAGTACACGCGTTAATATGTCACACTCATTATTAGTTGAAATGATAATGATTCGGGTATATTTAGATACATAAAATGTATTATTGTTAAAACAAATTTCCTGTGTTTCATTTACTTGGGTTTTTTTAATTTTTATTATTTATTTTTAGAGAGAGGGGAAGAGAGGGAGAGAAACATCAATGTGTGGTTGCCTCTCATGCGCCCCCTACTGGGGACCTGGCCTGCAACCCAGGCATGTGCCTTGACTGGGAATTGAACCAGTGACCTTTTTGGTTTACGGGACGATGCTCCAACCAAGCCACACCAGCCAGGTCCCCTTGCACTTGCTTTCATGTGGCTCCTAGAAGAGGGGAAGTTAACTGAGTGGCTCCCGGTCTGTTTCTGCTGGGCAGCGCGGGTCTGTCACAAAGCCCACGTCTGCGGCTCTGGGCCGAGGTCCTGCAAGCACACCACGCTGTGCCAACACATAACCTTGCCTTGACTCAAATCTTCCCCTTGAAGAGGATGAATTAAGGGCACAGAACAGGGAAAAAGGCAGCTCAAAGACAAAAGGTTTTTGCTCCTGTGGACACTCTGGGTGTTACCCCAGGACCTTCTGAGTTTATAAAATGAATGAGGAGGACCTTCTCATTCATTCTTATGTGGAGGACCTTCTCTTCCATATGAGATTGACCAGAAGTGTGTTAAAAAGCGGTGGAAATGGATCTTTTTTGGGGGAGGAAGGTGCAGATGACTGCACAACACCTGTTTGCCGAGCTAGGCACGTGCCCCGAGCGGCAGCCACGCCCACCAAGCCCTCGCCTCACCTCTGGGCAGGTCCGCCTGGGCCCTCAGGAGCTCTGCACACTTGGTTTCTTCCTCCTGTATTTCCAGATGCAATCGGCATTCCGGGTGAATGCTGTTCACCTGGCCAAGGTTTAAGAAAAAAATAGAAATGACGAAAATGTCCCTCCTAGGAAGACAGTGAGGCAAAAGTTCTATACGAGAAACAAACAAAAAACCCCTGCAAACCACAGAGTTTTAAGCTACTTCCAAACTAACACTCCTCTAAAGGCGACCTCCTTCCTGTTTCTGGCACGATTAAAATATGGCACGATTTCCTTTGTGAGGGAATTACAAGACAAACACCAAACCTAATAGAATTTTTCCTGAGAGGGAAGACACGTTTACAAATGCAGCACACTGTAGGTTCTCGGTGCCGCAACGTGGACACTCTCTGGAAGCCCACAACCTTTCAGTTCTCGGGTCCCTATTCCACCGCCCCCGATGAGGTCACTATGAACACGTATTTGCTCATAAGACCACCTGCCAGGGGTGCAGGGCCCCTCAGACTTCCACTAAGGAACTCCCCCCCCCCGCCCACCCCTGGGAAGAGCCCGGGAGGAGAACTTTGTTCTTAGGGCCTTTGGGCCACGCTGGAAACTCAGCCTCAGCGTCAGGGTGAAGGAGCTTTTCAGAAAGATCAGAGGGAAGGTGGGGGGTGGGTGGGGACAGTCACGCCACTCCTCCTGGTGCCAAAGACAAGCCCAGGGCTCTCCATCCTCCAAGGCGATATTCTGCTTTGTTTTCACAGAGGTCAGAGGTCCCTTTTGTTTATTACTGTCCTCCCACCTCATATAAGTGCTCACAGCATGTTGGCTGGACCCCTGCCCATGTCAGAAACAAAATTCTACTTTCACTAAAGAAAATCGTCCTTGGGGGCTGTTGATAACATGATAGAAAGAGGTCTGTTAGGATTCCAACGAGGGATAAAATTTCCTAAAATGATTAGGAAAAGAAACGTGTTGCTGGACCTTTGGCCAGATGTGTCCTCCTTAAAAGAAAAAAGACCTGAGACTTGTTTCCCCTCCCTCCTGCTGGGCAGCCCCCAACGGCAGAACCCCCGCTTCCCACAGGCTGCCTTTTCCTTCCCCCAAGGGCGGAGCGTAAATGTCAGGATTAGGGTAATTCTACGGACCGAAAAGGAAAAACAATGTTTTGTTCGGGTATTAAAAGACACTGCAATGCCTTACAACGCAAGGCAGCGATCACTGATTCGGGGACATCTTAGAAATCAAAGCGGCATCGGCCACAGTAATTCAGGGTCCTTTTAACCAACCAGTGTTTTCAACGCGCGGAAATGGGCAGCAGTTTTGGGGTTCAGGGGCAGGTCCACAGCCCCCGGACCCCCGAACTCCGCCTTGCGGCCTCGCAGCTGGAGGCCCGGAGCGAATCGTTGGGGGCGCGATTCCGGCTGCGACAGGCACCCAGCAGTAACCACGGCGCGCAATCTTTTCTTTCCTTTCTTAAAGGTCTTCAAAGGAAAGGAAGAGTTTTTCGAGAAAAATCTAGCGCTCTAAGCGAACAAACTTCTGTTCAGCGTACCGTTTCCCCCGGTGCTCTCACATAATGATAAAAAAAAAAACACAAACAAACATATCAAAGCAGAGTGTTTCCAAAAGGAAGTTTCCTGGGCCGCAGCGCGTCTCGCTCTGCCACGAAAACAGGTGCCGGGGGCGACCCACCCGCGTTCCGCTCTGAGAGGCGAGGCGCGCGCAGGCGGCCGCTGCCCGGCCCGGGGGACGCGCCGCGGGGACCCGGGATCCACTTCCAACGAGTCCCGGAGGCGGCGCGGGGTCGGAAACGCGGTCGCGGCGGGGCGGGAAGCGGGCGCACTCACCGGGCCGAGCAGCCAGCCGCAGCAGGTCAGCAGCGCCGGCGGCAGCAGCGCGGGCGCCCTCATCCCGGCTCCGTGGCGCCCACGTGGGGCGCGCGACGCACCACACACGGCTCCCGGGACCGCAGTCCAGGCTCCCAGCCCGGGCGCGGCGCGCCCAGCAGCTGCCACCCGGCGGCCCGAAGCCCGGCCCCCGCCCGCTGCTCCCGGCGCCCGCGCTCCGCCCCGCGGGCCCCCCCCCGCCCCCGCCGCCGCCTCCGCAGCCGAAGGAGCCGGGAAGAGATGCGCACAGGTAAACCGAACGCGCGCACCGCCGAAGCTGGGGAGACGGCGGCTGGGAGCACCCCCCAACACTTGGACACCCCGACCCGGGCCGCGGGCGAGAGCCGCGGTGGGCGTGGGCCTGATCCTGCTTCCTTGTTAAACAACAACCTGAAGACGCCCAGGAAAGTGGCAAGAAATCGGTCGGGGCTAGTGGGCGGTCTGCAAGGACAGTGGGGCTCTGTTGGGGCCACTGAGAAACTGGATTCGCTGGGCAGATGGAGCCTGGTGGCAGGTCCCCCGACGGTTCTCTGGCCCCCTTAAAGATCCGGAGGATTAGTGTAGCTTAAGAGCTAGTTGTTTTCCATCAAACGGAACAGCGCCAGAAATGAAAACCCAAACGGGTCTTTTTTGTTATGGTTTTAACTTCACATTTCAAAATAATTTCAAACTCATACAAAAGTTAGAATAAGAATACGAAGAACAGGCCTCTACCTTTATTTAGATTCAGCCACTAAAGTTGACCTCAGCGTTCCGTCATTCGTGTTCTCTGCGACCACCTTTCCCCCTAGTCTGCCCATCTCACCCCCGTCTGTCCTGTCCGTCTGTCTCTCTGGTGGGAACAGTGTTTGGGACAAAGACCTGGACGCCAGCCATGCAGTCGGCGACCCAGAAGCATATTGACTCTGGATTCGATGAGACAAACATTTACTTTACACACTGCTCCACCCTGGACAAGCCAACGAACTCCCCTGGGCCAGCCGTCCACTTGTAAAAGCCATAATGACCCCGCCCCACCCCACCGCCCACCCCGGAGAGCTGCGCTAGCCACCTGCTTGGAACATGGGGAGACACAAGATCCCCTCGCTGTGGGCCCGGCAGACGAGGCGAGACAGGAAGAAGCAAGCGTGATAGCATATGGGGAACGGGGCGTGCGTGCTTGTGGTGCCGGGAAGAACAGTGGGGAGGGGGAGACCCAGGCTGGCGTGGAAGCGCCCGTGGAACCCCGGACAGGCACTCCGAGGAACAAAGAGTGTGTCCCAGAGAAATCGGGGACCGGGTGGTCCCGGAGGCCTGAGGACAGAAGGGTGGTCTCGACCTGGTGGAGAGCAAAGTCAGCACTGCACACAGGGCAGATCAGAGGGCACGACCAGGAGTCCCACTGACGCTGCCTGGGGCAAATGCTCGTTCTTCCAGGAGTTTCCCTGCCTCCCTGGAAGGGGGTCCTGTGTCCTCGGGGCTGAGGGGAGACGGCTCCTGTGGGGGTGGGGGTGCTGGTATGGCCCTGACCCGGTAGGGTGCGGCAGCCCTGTGCCAACCTTGGGGGCCAAGGAAGCCTTGGTTCCTGCCCAGGCTCCAGTCACAGGGCCCCACCTGGGCCTCCAGCTCCCCCTCCTCTCTGACCACACCCACCCTCGGCACCTGCACCTGCATGTTCCGAGGTGGCCGGGAGGGGGCGCCTGTGCAGCCCGTGCTTCCGGGCACTCCCACACCTGCGCTGAGCCCTGAGTGGAGAGGCCCACACCTGATGCTGGACGTGAGCCGCCGTCCGGCGCTGTCCCCACAAACCGGAGGGCAGGCGCCTGCGGATCCGGTGAGCAGAGGCCTGGGCTCCTGGTTGGAAGACAGTGAGGTTGCCTTGGGAAGAATTGCTGGCACGTGGCACTTTCCAAAGGTAAGTCTCGGGTACACGTGACCCTCGGAGGTCCGTCTGGTCCCTCCGCCCCTCCTAGATGGGTAACTCTGGGGACCACGTCTGCTGGGAGGAGGGGACATGGCCACACCCCACAAGCGCATTCACAACTTTTTTTCCCTGTGAAGAAACCTGCCTCCCTTCTTCTTTCTGTGTTTTTAAAAGGCTGGGTGGCGGCCGTGGCCCAGCAGCTCAGTGGGTTGAGCACCGTCCCCAAACACCAAGCTTGTGGGTTTGCTCCCCATTCGGGGCACACACAGGAATCGGTGCATCAATAAGTGGAACAACAGGTCGGCATTTCTCTTCCCCTTCTCCCTTCCTCGCTGTATTTAAAATCTATAATGTACAAATGAGGGGCTGGGTACCATACTTCAACACCAACTTGATCCCTCCTCCCCATGAGAAGCCTGGGGTATTGGAGAGGGTGCTCAGCTTTGAGTCCTTTGCCCACTCACAGCTATGCCAGGGGACAGGGTTACGGGGAGGGAGGGTGTCAGCAGATGGTCTGGGGAACGTCCCTTGGGCTGTGTCCCCCCTCCCTGCCTTGAAGCAAACTCGAGGCAGGCCTTCTGTGTGTTCACAGTCCCCGAGAGCACCCGACATCCTAGCCCCATGGCACCCCCCACACACACACTCTCAGGGCTGTGCCGTGCATAGAGCCCACGACTGGCCACCCGGACCACTCGGGGCCCCAGGCTGTGGAATTCCTGGCACATGGGTGGTCTGCTGCTGGAGATGATCCTTCAGATGAAGCGGCATGCCGGCGTCGAAAGTTCCCAAACGTTTGCTGACTTAGATGGAAATGCCACCCGGGGATGGGGCCTCCTGCTCTGTGCTGGGGGACACAGACACTGCCCATGCCCCAGCCTCAGCGGTCAGTGATGTCCATCTGCCCGGAGGCTTCCAGCCCCTCCTGACCTTGACTGACCACAACTGCCACTGGGCGGAACCCCACATCCCTGCATCAGGCTAGAACCTGGCCAGGAGCTGTGCGTAGCACTGGGCATGGGGTTTCTGCCGGCTTCACCTCCAGGGCCGGGGTAGGGTCAGAAAGTCCCACTTATGAGCACGGGGCACTGGGAGGGGGGGCTGCTTTTGTGAGTTCTCTCACCTCTCCTCCCCGTGCAGCATTTCTGGGGACCTTCAGCTGCAGCCCCATTCATGCTGGGGGTGCCTCTCAGGGTGACCCCTGTTGGGATTCTCCCCTCTCCAGATGGTCCTCTTGGGAGAAACACTGTCAGGCCGGAGCCGATGGCTGTGTAAGGAGCATAACACCACCCTGGGCTTTGCCAAGCTGGGCGGCCGTGCTGGGAGCGCAGCTCCTCCCCAGACTGCAGTCGGGCAGCCAGCCAGCTGCTTCCCAGGCCAGAGCTGGAGCCTGCCCTGCCTCCCCAGGCGCACGCCGGCCCTGCCCCCAGGCCTGTCTGGAGGATCTGCCCTTGGTGTGAGAGAGAGGGCCTCAGCACAGTGAGTGCCCCCACCCAGGGTCTCCCCTGTGGCTCTGCGGTGACTCCCCCAGAAGGATAAGTTCCCAGACATCTGGGGTCCGTCTCGTTGGAAATCTCCTGAGTCGACTAGCACTGGATTTGGAAATGTGAGCTTTGAACTTGACCAGAACCATGCTGGCTCTCGGGCAATAATGTTGACCTCAGTGGCCCCGCAGCCTTTGGTGTTCTGCTTGGTGACTTCACCCTCAGCTGGAGGCTTCAAACCTGCAGAGACCTGGGCCCCCGGGTCCCTTGGAGGAGGAAGTGGTGGCGGAGATGCTCCAGGAAGCTGTGGCTTTGCACTGAGAGCTCACTTATCACAGTAGTTACATGCTCACCGTGAAACGGAGTGCAAAGTTAAGTTCCCACCCACCCACAGACACACAGTTGCCCCTTATTCCTGCTTTGCACAGCTATAGCACTCTATTATATAGCATGGCTATTAAAGCTGATGAGTCAAGGCTGTTACTAAGTAACGTCTGTGGTTTCTTGTCTGCGCATCGTTGCCTTTCCCACAATGTTGCGGAGTTGGAATCCCTCAGTGTGTAGCCTTTGCAGACGGGCTTCTGTTACTTAGTAGTGGTCAAGGTTCCTCCCAGTCTTTTCATGGCTTCCTGGCTCCTGGCTTTTCAGTGCTTGAGTAATAGTCTGTCGTTTGGATGGACCAGTTTGTTTATCTATCACCTACTAACGTGCATCCTGGTTGCTTACAAGTCTTAGCAGGCAGGAATGAAGCTGCTGTGAATGTTTGTGAGCCAAACCGTGGTCCGCACTGGCTACATCATGTGGCATCCCCACCAGCCACAAATGTGTGTTCCTGCTGCTCCACCTCCTCGTCTGCACTTGGTGTTGTCAGGGCCTGCACTTCGGCCACCCTAGTCTGTGTGCAGTGGCACGTCATTGCTGTTTTAATTCTCATTTCCCTGACAACAGAGCACAGGGAGCATCTTCTCATGCTTGTTTGCCATCTGTATTTCTTCTTTGGCACAGTGTCTGTTCAGATCCTTGAGCTAATTTTTTTTTAATTTTTATTGTTAATTTTCTGATTATTGAGTTCCAAGAATTTTTTCCCCTGCCCTGGCCAGGTAGCCCAGTGGGTTAGAGCACCATCCACATACACCAAGGTTGCAGGTTTGATCCTCAGTCAGGGCACGTACAAGAAGAAACCAATGAGTACATAGATGGGTGGAAAAACAAATCTCTCTCTCTCCCCCCCCTTCCTTTTCTGTCAAATGAATAAATAAAAATTTAAGAACAAAATTTTAAAGATTTTTAATTCTAATCTTTTATCAAATCCTGCAAATATTTTCCACCCACTCTGTGTGTGGATTGTCTTATTTTCTAACAATGCCGTCTCACAGAGCAGAAGTTTTTAACTTTCATTAAGTGCCACTTACCAGTTGTTTTTAGGATTGTGTTTTTGGTGTTGTGTCTAAAGTCATCAGCAAACCTCAGATCACCTGGATTTTCCAGTGCGTCACCTTCCAGGAGTCGCACCCTCCTGCAGGCTGCCCTGAGGCCGGCCACCATTCGGAGTGAACTGGGGTGAGGGGTGGAGGGGTATCTGGGTCCGCTCTCATCCTGCTGTTCCTCACCATTTGCTGAGAGGACTCTTCTTCCCTCATGAGTTGCTTTGGCCCCTTTGTCAAACATCAGCCGACTTCACTTGTGTGGGTCTGTTTCTGGCTCCCCATTCTGCTCCACGGATTCTGTCCCACGGATTCTGCTCCACGGATTCTGTTCCA